TCTGCAATGTTTTGGCCCACAAGGACTGGAGTCTGACACATGTGATTTAAAAAGTCAAGTAAAAGCCTTGTTCAGTGTAAGAGCATAAACTCTTTATATTGGTGAGTGTCATCATGGGGTGTGTGCTTCGTGCCTGTAAGCACAGAAACACAACTAAACGAATTCACAACCTGACATTAGTTACGTGCTACTTAACCCATCAGATACTAAAATATGCATCCTGTTGAATAAGGTATACATTTAAAGACGCCCTCTGCTTCCCCATAAATCATTAGGAAGAAGTGAGTGGGCTCTTTTTAGGGCTGCCGATCACTGCTAAACTCATCAAAAGCTGAGGCGGTTTTTCAGCCGGACAGGTGCCGGGGCTCCAGCTGAAGGCATGGTGGGGGTGAATCCTGATGACAGCTGAGGCAATGCGGCTTTCTCTAGCAATATCTCTACTGGAAGAGGTCAGAGAAAGCGTAGGCCTGGGGGAGGAATGTCTCAAGCCTCGTCTAGGGGTGGGCCAGGGGTCTGGAGCCTGATTTAGACAAGTGGGAGGGCAGAACATGCTCCGATCACCCTGTGTGGTAAGAAGCAACAGCAGCTGGGAGCCGGAAAAGCCCTCCACCTCCGCCCTAAATCCTGAGTCACACAGCTTCACTGTACAATAAAATTATTACAATGACATAAAGGCAGACTTCGGTCAAAAACGCTAAGTTGTGTTGATGGTAGGCACTATATAAACATGCGATTGTGCTAGCTGTTCTCCATTAGCTTCTGCTATTTTAGCATTTTCTGTTAAAAAAGGTAAATGATGGACAAATGTTGCCCAAACAAAATTCCAGTCCTGATCTTCAGAGTCAGTTGAAGTGTCCATGGCTTGGTGATCTGTCTTCCAAGGGTCCTGCGTCCTCCAATCCATCTACCTGCTTTCTCTGGCCTCTTTTGACTTTTCATCGAGATGTTTAAAGGACTCTCAATTCAGATCTTCGGCTTTATTCCTGTAGACTTTCTAATATCCTTCAGTTTCTCCGTGGCTCCAGTGACATATTTCTAAGAAATTTAACAGCTGAATTAAAGGCCTTCACTGTTAGAAATAAAGGTACAGTGCCGGTACATTTTTCGCTCATCAAACAATGGTACAAACAATGTAAAGGTATCTTCAAAGGTACAACAGTGGTCTTAAACAAATTTTTCCAGGTGAAAAATAACTGAATGTTTTAAAACAGAACAATAAAATAAAAGCCTGGAGACGAGACGGGGTGGGTGGAGTCAGTACAACTTAGAAAATATTATTTCAATGGATTATGGTACAATGAGATGGACCCTTGAGGGAACCACCCCAGTGACAAGAGGGGTCCTGCCCCAGTGACAGTTTTGTGTCTTTTTTCTGAGAGTGTTATTTTGCTACACAAGGCATTAAACAGTTATAAACATAAACTATAAACAAAGCTACATAAGCTTACATATTGATAATAAGCTATGCACATTATTTCATATAGTTTTCCTGGTATAATATCATGGGTAAAATAATCTGTCCCCTATGAATGTCCTTTTATGGATTCCAATCTCAAGTCATCTTATATAACCGGATCCAAATCTAAATAAGCATGTATTTCAGGTTGCCGTTTCCTTTTCCACATGACGCATGTGTCACACCCACCCGCCCAAACACATACACACAAACACACTCTCTCTTTCTGTCTGTCTCTCACTCTCACTCTCTCTCTCTCTCTCTCTCTCTCTCTCTCTCTGATGGCCACTAGTAAACAGTGTGCTAAAAATGACGGTCTTTGAGTTTCTTCCAAGAATCTCAGCTGAAATGAGAGTGGCCGCAGGAAACAGGGTTACTTCCACTTGTTTGGGGGCAGGGTGGACACATTGCGGCCAGATGTCACCCCATTTCTACAAAACCAAGAGTGCATCAGCTGCACTGTCCGAAATAGCAATAGGGGTCAAAGCACCATACAGGATCACTATTGTTTTTGTTAGATTTCTCACTCTTACTACTCTCTGCTGAAGTGCATAGGGAAGCGGAGACGTAGTCTTACACTGTTTGCTCAGTGTACATCAAAGTGGCCTCAGATTAACAGTGTCTGATATGGCAAAATATAACAACACTTACAGACGTTTTTATAATACACAATCTGCCTTATGATTATTAGCTTTTTAAAAGTTTGATAAGTTGTAACAGACAAAAGAGAACCGGTGGTGCCACTTGAAAAAACCTATGAATACATACATTTTTATTCAATGTTTCACACAGTGCACTAAATCCAATTAAACATGACTAATTATGCTCTCTTCGTAATGAAACATGCAGTTCTTCAGTGTTATTTAAGTACAGACATATCATTTATAGTAATGATGAACATATCATAGTGCCATGATGTCATAGCAACTGCCCCTAATTCAAGCCTTAAGAGAAATTTGTAAACATGGCAATCAAATGCAAACTCTTTCTTATTTATTCTAAAAAATACATCATTTATGAACACTTGGCCAAATCATCACATTTCTATATCTTGGAAATGGCTGTTCAAGCACTTGTTCAATCAAGTTTTATCAAAGTTTGCATTATGGTGCATTTCAACAACCAAACAGTATCTCAAAAAAACAATCCCACCATCAGCCAACCAGATGGCATAGCCTTTTAATAGGCTTAGCAATGAGTAATTAAAACAGAAGTCATACAGCAAAATTGGTGGACACTTCAATAAAAAGTGGCACTGTAGTTTGCGTAGTAGAGATTTCTTTAGAAATGTATTTCAGACCCCAAAAGAGTGGATTATAAGATATGGCCATTACTGTGCCATATGAAGACCATTAAGCTATAATTTGCTTAACTTCTTTTTGCCATCTAGTCCTAGATTAGCTTCTCAAACAGATCCACTGCACCTCTCGGTAAACAGATGAGTTGAATGAATGAGCAGGGAAATTACCAAACTATGCTGGACACCTTATCTCCAGGACCAGACATAAATCTTTCAAAAAAATTGGCAGAATTAGCCCTTAAAGTTAAACCAGTTGAGCTTTTCCACTGGACAGTGAAGTGTAGTGTGGTAGGATTGTTAATCTGAACCAAAAACCACGGTAAGTGTCTGTGTCCATTTCCCATCAGACTACCCTTGAAAGTACACACAAATATAAGTAGCAACAATAATGACACTTCTAGTCCTGAGTTACCTTTTCCCTGGCACTGAGTTTTATGTGATGGTTCAAACAATGATTATGGCTGGCAATGTTTTTTAACTTGTGGTCATCTTTCTGTGATTATTTTGCTTGGCCAATCAATGGTCTGCACAAATTCTACACTCTAAGATAAAAACTACTGAACTGGGATGGTACCTTCAAGGTTATGTCTTCAGTACCTTTAGTTATGGAACATAATTGTACCATATTTCACTGAAATTCTATATTTTTATAGGATATATGCCCTATCATGACCACCACGGTTTTTATTTTATTGTTATTGTTATTAAAACATTACGTTATGAAAATGTACAAAAATGTATCTTTTCCCTGGGAAAATGTATTTAAGGTACACAGTTGGACCTAAAACCATTGTTGTAGCTTTAAGGGTACATTTACATTGTTTGTACCTTGATGAACAATGTACCCGCACAGCACTTTTTTTCTGACAGTGTAGCTCTATACGTATGTCTGAGTTTGGCACGCTTGGAACCCTGGAAAGAAGGGTAACTGAATTCAGCAAGCAGTTCGGGTAACTTGGCAGTGGAAATGTGTGATCAGGTTTATAGCCATACAGTGCCCATTTTAGAGAGGCACTTAAACATCCAATTAGTACATACATCATAAGCTCAGTTGTTGTGGGCTTAACCACAAGGGACATACAGGTGTAAATGAGGAGTGTTCAGTTCATACAACATGAGCTTGAGTCTGCAGTGAAAAGAAACATGTCTGCGTATTATTTCCTGGCTCTGGAACTATGACTGTCTCTTAACCGGGTTCTAGTGCTTGGACCCCTATAATTGCTGCTCAGACTTATTTTTCAATTTTTCATAACATTGTTTGCTATCTTAGGGGAATCCTCTTCAACTGCTTAACCTCTCTAAAAATCACTGACTGCATCACTACTCAGACACTGTTTACACATGACCACATAAAAATTGACACTGGCCCATGGTTGGGATGCCATCACTCTGGACCGCCCCGCCCCGTCTGGAGCTGGAGTGAGCATGTGCATCAATTTGTTATTATGGCATGTAAATTTTAGCCTTCCAGCTAAACTCCCACACTGAAACTAAGAATTAGTCACAGAGGAAGTTGACATACACCTTTCTTTAATGTTGGGCAGTTCATGTTTAACAGCAGAGACTTTTAATATTAGTCATTAGCTTATCAGGCAGATCTTCCCTCCATATGATCCAATGCCTCTGTGTCATATTCCTTGGATACTTTTCAAACTTGTATCCTAACTGCATTAACCCATGCAGCCCAGAGGAGGATGGGTTCCTCTTTTGAGTCTTGGTTTCTCTCGGCATTTCATCCTCATGCTCTTAGGAAGTTCCTCACTTTGAGTCATGGTTCCTCTGAGCGTTTCTCCCTCTTCATCTCAGGGAGATTCTCCATTTGAGTCTTGGTTCCTCTCAGCTGCTCCTCCTCATGTTCTTAGAGAGTTTCTCTTTTAAAGTTTTGGATGCCCTCAGTGTTCCTTCCTCACACTCTTATTGGGTATCTCCTGCCACTGTTGTGCTCAGCCTACTTATTTGGGGCTAGATCCACATTTCTGGACAGCTGCTTTGGGACAATGTTGCAAACAACACTACACACATAAAATGAGCCTGAACTGAGTTGCTCCGATTCTTACCTACTGACCCAGCTCGACCTCATTCATCACCATCCTCCCTTCCCGCTCGCACTGGGGCGCTGGGCTCCTCCTTCTCGTCTCGTGGCTCGGCCCCCATGGCCATGTAGAGCCTGTGAGTCAAGCCTTCAGCCCAATCCGCCCCCTCTGCTCCCTGTCACAGCCACTATGGAGTAAAAGAGGGGCATATATAAACGTTCTGGCTTGGAGTGAAAGCGCTGAGTGTCCTCCAAGCTGCGGTCCACTCTGAAGCCCACACAGGTCATTGGCTAAAAAATGGCACCCAAGAAGGACGCAAAGAAGCCCGAGCCAGCAAAGAAGGCTGAGCCTGCACCTGCCCCTGCCCCTGCCCCAGCAGCTGAGCCTGCAGCCAAACCCAAAGCAGCAGCAGTGGACCTGTCTGCAGTCAAGGTAACAATACATACCGCTTTTACACTGCTTCATACAGGAGCATGGGAGCTATAGATTTGTGACTGTGGTGGTAAAACAAATCCATTGTGGAGTTTAACTTTTACATGCTACAGCTTCATATGGTGGGCATGGGTGGGCTGGGATGGGCTGGGATGGGCAGGGTTAAAATGATTCAGTCATGGAAATTAGCTGTTACATGAGTTGCTCTTACACAAGTTAACGCAGGTGAAACAGTGTAGTTTTAAAACCTGTGTATTTATAATTAATTGTTTTATAAGTATTAAAACTCTCATCCTTCTGACAACATAGCTGGCATATTTGTCACTAAATATAAGTCCTTAATATTATAGCTGTACACGCCTGGGGTTTATGAGGCTCATGTTTTATGGTAGTAAATGTATATAAGCACTGCTTGTAAGGTGAGAAATGTAAGGTGTGCATATAGTCAGGGAAAAACTCAGCACCATGGATAGTTCAGTGGAAGTTGCTGGCGAATTGGTGACTAATCAGAATCATTAATCCAGGGGTGTCCCAGCCTGGGTCGGGGAGGGCCTTAGTCCAGCAAAGTTTGGTGATTTCCCTGCTCAAACATACCTGGTTCAACTCAGCAGTTAATGATTTAGTAGGTGTTTAGTAGGTGTTTAGTTTAGTAGGTGCGCTAGAACAGAAAATCACCAAACGGTGCTGGATTAGGCAGCTCTGCATCAAACTAAGCCTTTCCACAACCCCCCCACTGCTGATTTTTAGCGACCGGGATATCGCAGTGATGACACGTTGCAGTGCGGCATGTAACCAAATGTGGGCAAGGTTAAGACAGCCAAAGATGGACCTCCCTTGGTCAGGTTACCACTGTAGAAGAAACTAAATTAAGCACATGCAGAGGTGTAGCCTTACCTCCGTCACTGAGACTTAAGCTTTTCCGCTTCTCACGAAGCAAGTCATACACGTTCCTCATGACTTACTTCTAAGAAGTGATTAGGAGTGATTGATGCCCCTTTTTCCGTTTCAGGCATTTCAAAAGTGCAATAACACTTAATTAACACATTATTTTTGGCTCTATGAATGAAATAATGAAATAATGAATGACAATTCGGTCATCTTTGTCAACACAACATTTTCCAGGGCTTCATCTAAGAGCTTGAGCCTTTTATGAAGACTTGATTGACCAAATTTTGATATTTTCATATTATGACACTTTTTTACATTTTTGTGTTTTCATACACAGAACGTTTTCCAAAGTTATGAGTTCTGATATGACGTTATTTATCGTGTTGCATTTGACAATTAAAGTAGGAATCCAACTCATTTTTGTACAAAAACATCCAATTTTACAGTAAAGTGCTCTCCTATTTAGTATTTAACGGACATACAAGTATGCGTGTGTGTATATGTTGCTGAGTAGATTATTATACATATATTACAGTATGTTTTGGGTTTTTACTTTTGAAAAATGTGAGTTAAGATGCAAAAGTCTGGAATCTCAAGAAATGATGAGGTTAATTGAATGAATTTAAGTTTCCTCTGTTCTTCTGCAGGTGGAGTTCACTCCAGACCAGCTAGAGGGTAAGTTTACCCACATAAAGACTCACAAACAAGACTTAGGGCTATACATTGGCTCTCAATGTACACTCTTAATGAATGAATGAATAGATGACAAAAGAATGAATGAAATAAAGAATAAGTCAAATATAAATGGCAATCAAATGTGTAAATCATTGCTTGTGTAGAACAAGTCTAAGCTGGAGTTAGTTTAAGCAAACTGCAGCTCTTTAAAGCCGCTGAAATCAGTCTCAATATATCAGGCATGTGACAATGTACTTTTATTATGCCATTAAAAAACCCAACCTTTAGCCTGGAATGGACCATTGTCAATGGTCAGGGCTGTTTGTAAAGCTGAAGAATGCCCCCTTTGCCCATTGGGAGGTCAGGCAGTCTTCAGGCTGGGTGTTAGTTACGCTCTAGTCAGCATTCTTGGTTTTATGCGGGTCACTCAGACGTCTTAGTGACTTTATATGGACGGAGTTATATTCTTGGGAGCGTGTATCGGTTCCAAGTCGGAGCATTAAATGCCTCCCCCCAGGCTGGTCATCGGTGGCACACGGCCGTGCGCGGAAATCGCATTGAGTTATTAATCTTTCTCCGGCTCACTTTCCAGAGAGCCCGCGGAAAAGCCCATTGAAATAGCTCGTCCTCGTTATCGCCCGGCGAAGACCCTCAGCGAGCACGTCTGCAGCTGTCGCTCTTAATTTGCTGGGGTCAATGAGTGAAATTTCCGACATTGCACACATTGTCCACTAACCTGACCGGCAGGTCATGATTGACAGGAGGCCTAAGGTTTTACTTTAGTGTTGGGAAACCTGCCAAAGGCATCCCATTCAAGATCACTGGGCCCATAATTACGTTTACACATTTAATTCCAATGGCTGCAATTAATTAGGAGTGAAATATATTTTTGGAAAATGCAGATGGCTCAATGAGCATGATTGAATTTTAGAAATAAGCCACTGAAGTTTGGGAATGCCTAGCTTTTCAAAATATTTTATACAAGTGATCTTGCTTTTTGGCAGTAACCTCACAGACTGATGAGGTTTGAGGAAAACAATATCATATGTAGATATTCATGGAAATATTAATGACAGGCCTTTGGAAGTAATGCAAAAGCCCTTTTTTATGGCCTTCCTGTGAGATCAGCACTCATTAGCACTCAAACCTTTTAGATGTTTAAACTTCTATCACACACTTCTATAACTTGAGAATAACTCAGCTGGACTGGACAACCTATGGCGTTACTAAACAGTAAAGTTTATGATATAATAACTCTGTAGTTGGTTAAACCTTTTTTGGGTCCAACAATTTACAATATGTGCTTTCAACCACTTTTTCACAGTTGGCAGAAAAAAACATGTCAGACTGAGCCTCAGTTCAGCTTTGCGTTCTAATATATTTCAAATTAAAATAGATTTTTTTAACAAATACATACATTTTTTAATTAGATTTTGAATTAAACTATTTTATTTGCTAATATTAATAAAAATATTAGACTTGGAGACCTGCAGAAAGGGGTCTACAATAGTCCATAAAAGAAACCTGTCAACATTTATTTAGGCAAAACAAACTCTTCGCACCTTGAAGCTGAGAAATACACCCAAAGTATTAACCCATTAACATTCCAGATTTATTTCATGCAAAGGCTCATTATTCAGTAACTACAGGGACTTCAGTGCAAACTGGCTGAGCTGTTCTTAGCTTATAAAAGTGTGTAATAAAGCCTTGGGCTTGTTAAGGGCTTCATAAATGACGTAAACAAAACTTTTCTATGTAGGTTGTCTTACTTCCTCTAACTGTGAAGTAAATCAAATGTGAAAAGAAAGCAAAGCATCCCCAAACTTTGTTGGTAAGCGCGATTTACAGTTATCTAAACACCTACACAGCCTAAAGTCTCTCTCTTTTTTTTATTACCCCAGACTACAAGGAAGCCTTTGGCCTTTTCGACAGAGTGGGTGACAACAAGGTGGCCTACAACCAGATTGCCGACATCTGCCGTGCACTGGGACAGAACCCCACCAACAAGGAAGTCAACCAGATCCTGGGCAACCCCGGCCCTGAAGGTATGAACCAATGGCTCTGTAACTACAAGAACTACAAAAACTGTAGCCGATTGAGTGACAATTTTGCACAATTTTACCTTTAGTTGATCAGTCAAGATACGGTTTACATTTTTTTACAGAAAGCAGAGCGTAGCTAATAAATAATGGACCCACCAGTTTCATAATCACCAGGTTGAGTGATTAAATAATCTCAAATAGACCTGCAAATAGATGAAAATGATGCTTCATAGTAATGTTATAAATACAACAAATCACTTTAGTCTAAGGTCCCTTATATCAAAGTAATCTGATTTACTTCATAGAACATCTTATGTCATCTTGCGGTTATTTATGGTCAAAACTCAAATATTGCTTGGTAAATCTGTTGTTCAGTGCTTATACATGTGTTACGTAGTCCCTATGTAGGTAGCCTTCAAATAAAGTGTAACCAATGTTTCCTTAAAAGTTATACAAAAATAACACCGTTCAATTTATATCAGTTACTTCTCGTTCACATCTAATTGAAGTAAATTAAAAAAATGAGATATTGATTTTTAATCAGTATCACATTTCGCTGTTGTCAAAATAAAACCTCATATCTCCACTTTTGACGTATTTCAGTTTTTTACATAATTTAAAAATGCCTGTTGCTCTTCACATTGTGTGTAAATTTCATGATGAATGGACCAAAAGAAACGGCGCAAAATGACTTGTAAAAAAGTCTGGTTCCATTGACTTACCTTAAAAGTAAAGTAGGTTTTTTTCTTTCTCCAGTAAATCTCTCGTTTAGCAGGACTAAAATATTACACATTTGCCTTAAATCACATTGGTTTGTTAATAATGTCAAGAAAAACTTGTTTACAACCGAATCTGTATGACATACTGATATGTCAAGGCAAATATGTAATGATTTAGGAATCTGGTTAGCACAGCGCTGATTGGCTGCTATAGGCCTTCATTACTTGTTGACCCGATAACCTGAAAGTTGTCTCTACTTTTGTCTATTGTTATAGATATTAGAGTTGCCATACACTCTCAGAAACCACACAAGCAGGTCTATTTAATAACTCAACCTGGTTTGAGGTGATTTTGAAGTTGCAGTTAGCATCAGATGAACTGGTGGCTATAAGCTTTCATTACATGCTGGCTTGTTCCATCACTCGCTACATTAACCTCACATTTGCAGTGCAACACAAGTAAATTTCAGACATCTAATATGCTGATCGACTACATTTTGGCTAAGAGGGAAACTGTGTCAATTAGATTTTTGGTCCAGTCATTACTTTAACATCAGCATTGCCTCACTGTCTCTGTGTCCTCTGTAATATTTAGTGTTTCATTCGTGTGCAAGTTATTCAATTATATAAACTTACGTTACTGCATGATCTATAATCAGCCACACTTCCTCACCTCTGACCCCTGCCGTGCTCCTTCTTCCCCACAGAGATGGCCAACAAAAGGGTGGAGTTCGAGCAATTCCTGCCCATGCTGCAGTATTTGGTCAACAAGCCAAACAAGGGGACCTTCGAGGACTACGTTGAGGGTCTGCGCGTCTTCGACAAGGAGGGCAACGGCACAGTGATGGGCGCTGAGCTGCGTATTGTCCTCTCAACGCTGGGTGAGCATCTGGACGCGACACTGCAACACAAACTCATCTAACAAATTGGTCTTTTGGATTTAAATCAGTTTTAGAGTTTAATTAAAAAATCTTCTTTGATGTTTTTATTGAATCAGTCACTTAAAAGCTTCGGTAACACTTTATTTGAAGGCTACTTACATAAAGAAGGGTTGAATAATGTATTTATAAAGCAATATTTGAGTCTTTATGAACAGCTTATGCCAGTTATCACAAGATACCATTAGCTGAAGAAAATGACATTGTATTAACGAAGGGTTTTGTACCTTAACCCATGTAGAAATATGAAAATGATGCTTCATAATAGTGTTATAAAGGAACAAATGTCCCTCACTGTAGATTAAGGTCCCTTATACCAAAGCAACCTCACTTACTTCGTAGAACATCTTATGTCATCTTGCGGTTTTTAGCATAAGCTGGTCATGAATACTCAAATATTGCTTCATAAATCTGTTGTTCAGTGCTTATACATGTGTTATGTAGTCCCTATGTAGGTAGCCTTCAAATAAAGTGTTACCAATGTTTCTTTAAAAGTTATAGAAAAATAACACGGTGCAATTTTATCTCAATTACTTCTCATTTGCAGCTAATTAAATAAAAAATATAGATTTTTAATCAACGCCATATTAGTAAGCTTCTTTCTAAGCAGAGAATTATTTTAATCTGATTTAAATGTGATGTCAAGTTATTGTTGAGTGTACAATCTTATTTTGCAGGATGAGAAAAACCTTTGTTTAAAGTTTTCTATGTGTTTCACACTGCTTGACATTCAGAGTTGCAGCTGAACAAATTCAGAATGGCAGACTTGAATGCTGTTGATGCAGATTGTAAATCGAATGTGAATTTAATTCAGTACATATCTATGTAATTAATAATGTAATTACAATAGTATAACATTTAAATGATTTAATGCTTGAATAATGTATTTAATTATGGATATTATTAAATAATTTCACAAATTATCAATATTATTAAACAATTTAATACATTTCAATTTAAAATAATTAAAATTGTATGGCAGAATAATAACACAGCATTTCAGTGTTAAAGGTTTTTGTATATTTAAGTTTGCATTTTGCCTTCACTTATGCATTGAACACAATCCTGTTAACCAATGTCCTTTCAGATGAATTAAGACTGTGTAAGACTTTTTTACATGCTTTTTTTGTCACTATTGTGATGGAAATGGGGCATCACCCTTAATCTCAATGTGTGCCCCCCACTACATAAGTAATAAGTACCTGCTATGTGATGTACAGTGCACTAGGATATGATTTTGGATGTGGCTCATTTGCTCTAAATAAATGATTGACAGGTGAGAAAATGTCAGAGGCTGAGGTCGATGCCGTCATGGCAGGCCAGGAGGATGAGAATGGCTGCGTCAACTATGAGGGTCAGTATTTCAGGAGGACTTGATTGTTACTCTGCATGTATTATAATGAATATATTACTCTACACTCTCAGAAACAAAGGTGCTAACCTGTCACTGGGGTAGGACCCCTCTTGTCACTGGGGTGGTTTCCTCAAGGGTACATCTCAGTACCTTTAGTCAGGGATCATAACTGAACCATAATCCACTGAAATGATATTTTCTAAGCTGTACTGACTCCACACACCCCGTCTCGTCTCCAGGCTTTTATTTTACTGTTCTGTTTTAAAACATTACGTTATGAAAAGATACAAATATGAACTTTTCACCTGGATAAACTTATTTAAGGTTCACAATCAGACCTTAAAACCACTGTTGTACCTTTGAGGGAACATTTACATTGTTTGTACCTTGATGAATGAAAAATGTACCTGCACAGAACCTTTATTTCTAACAGTGTAGCTGGGATCACCAATCTTATCCACAGTGGGCCAGTGTGGCTTCAGGTTTTGACTGACCCTTCATGGACAAGATTGGTGATTCCTGCTCTATAGAGAACATTATATGCGACATAATGATTTTAATATTGCTGTTGGACACGCTTGATCTGCACTCAATGCTGTTTTATTTGCTTAGGCAATATTAAAAGTGGTTGTTTTATAGTTTTACATTCTAGTTTTTCTTTTTTTTTCCTTTTAGCTTTTGTGAAACACATCCTGTCAGTGTAAGCGGTAACAGTTTTGAGGAAGCACATCTATTTCTCCCGACCCCATGGTGTCAGGACGTCCACGCGCTGTTTCTCCAACCGGCGAGGAAATGGATTAAAAAAAAAGGACTATGGGACGTCAACTCTAAGCCATTCTTTTTGTCTATTTGTGTCCTTTTTCATGTCCACTCTTGGAAGCCGTCGATATGATTTTGCAGCAGTTGCTGTCCTGTTGCTTGCGCCGGGGCGAATCTCTCCACAGTGGGGCAGTAATGAGGGAGTAAGGGGTGCCCCGGCTGCCCTCAACGACAGGACACACCTTGCTCCTCCTCATACACTGCTTGTCGTCTGGATCGCAAGTCCGAAGGTGCTACATGTACTGCCTCTACTGTGGACTGGTTGTTGACCCCTCCCCTTCCACCCCCCCTTTCCCCAGAGTCTTAATTTATTTTTCGCCTCTGTCATTTCTCATAATAAACTTTTCACAAAGTACACCCCTTGTCAGGTTCTCGTTCTTGCCCACAGCAACGCAGGCCGAATTGAAACGCAGGTGGGTGCAGCAGGTGGGTGAGTTGGTTGTGCACAACACTTACAATCATGTTTCCAATGTGGATTTAAGTATATGGGACATTATCAGATGATCACAGTGGTGCACTTCAGAGCTGCCTTGTACGTGAGGCATTTAGAATTGAATCGCCCTCTTACCCCAGATGTAGTCAATCAACCAAGACATGAATGTTTGTGGTCTGAAGTTTACTTTTATAGTTTTACAGTGGAGCTGTGAGACCAATGTAGCTAACAGGTAATGGAAGCTTATGGCTACAAAGTCTCAAACCCTGTCAAGTTGTTCAGCAGGCTTATGTGGTCTCTGTCACTGTGTGACATACTGTCATCTATAAAAATGGGCTACATTAGCCTCATAGTCCCTAAAAAAAGCAAAATTCAGACACTGAACATGTATCAGCTGATCAAGCACACTTGGGATGAGGTCAAATTTGTGTAAGCTGGATTTTTGGCTGAATTATTAGTACAATCTTTGAGGAAGACTCTACACTCTCAGAAATAAAGGTATGAAACTGTCACTGGGGCAGTACCCCTCTTGTCACTGGGGTGGGACCCTCAAAGGTACATAATTGTACCATAATCCACTGAAATTATATTTTCTAAGCTGTACTGACTCCACACACCCCGTCTCGTCTCCAGGCTTTTATTTTATTGTTCTGTTTTAAAATATTCGGTTATGAAAAGGTACAAATACAAACTTTTCACCTGGAAAAACTTACTTAAGGTTCACACCTGGACCTTAAAACCACTGTTGTACCTTTGAGGGAACATTTACATTGTTTGTACCTTGATGAACAAGAAATGTACCTGCACAGAACCTTTATTTCTAACCGTGTAGACCTGCTTTGTGTCTATAGGTAACAGTTCCAACTCTGCCTGTGATCTTCAGTAGTGGGTTTTCCTTCTCAATAAAGGAAGGATGTTGGGGTGATTTAGCTGGACCTGGACAGAGGGGTCTGACTGGAGTGGTTGAGATGTGGCTGGTTGAGCACATCTGTTCTCCTTTTGTGTAGCCTCTTTCTGCAGGCCTCCATGGCTAGTGGCCATTTTGTAGATGGAATGGAAGTTGGATTTTAATTAACATTATCAAATAATTTTCCCCACTTATCAGTTTTGCATTAACTGGGACTGAGAGTGTGGAACGTTGTGACTGTGTTGAGCTGCTAGTGAGCAATGAGGAGTGAAAAAGGAAGGAACTCCCTGCTCTGAAAACAATCCTCACCAAAAAACAACTACAGGTTTTTGTATGAAAAAATCATGTAAAACTGCCACAATAAAAACACACTTTTATAAATATTGATTGCTTGTTCACCACAAAGACTAATATCCAGTTTGCTTTTGGTTTTGTAAATCTTACACACTTCCATCAAAATATTGAAGAAAACAAATATTGCATAGTTCTACCGAGGGACTGCCAGTTGTTGTACAGTCTGAAAGGATTGAGTGTTTTGGTTATTTATTTTGTTTTATGTGTGACAAACTGCACTGTAAAGTATTTAAAGATGTTCTATTTGATTTATACAGGGACTTAGATATTGATTGTATTTACGATTTAGGACAGGGGTTCTTAAACTGGGGGTCGTGGTCATATAACTTATGAAACAGTGAAAATAATTTGCATGCAGGTGCTGCTGAATGGCTCCACCTACAGGTCAGAGACAGACTAGCGCTGATTATAAATTTCTATTGGGTGATCTTGTTACTGAGGGAGGGTCTTAATTGACCAACACACTTGTACCCTGATAGCAGGAAGATAGTGGGCCACTGTTGGCCCACTGATGGCAAAGCTGGCGGCCCATTGGTGTTTTGCTCAGCGTTTTCCAGGCGGCCCACCAGTGTTTAAGAACAGTATTAGACAAAATTCCACTTATCCATTTTCCACTCACAGTCCAATTTACTGAATTTCCTTCCTTCCTTTCTTTAGTTATACTTTGTAAATTAGCTTAGTAAATAATTTTAATATAGCTCAACATCAGCAACAATATTTTCTATGTAAATCATTTTACATCCGGCCCAGTCATCATTATTTTCTTCTCAGTTGTTAGTAATATTCATCGTTTTTATTGTTTATTTTCTAAAATAAAAGGCTCTTATTAAAATTAAAATTAAAATCTGTTTGAGGAGATTAAAAACTAGGTAGAGCTCGTATGCAGGATAGTAATCTGGGTGGTCCGAGGATGGACTAGAAGTGGCAAACAGTCAGCGGGGTGCCGACCTTATCAAGCCAGTGGACCGATAGTTTTCAGCACCAAGCTAAAGATTTGTGGTTGATCCAGTAAGCGAGTAGACCCAGAATCTTCTGTAATTTCTGTTATGTGTACTCTTGTGCGTGTTGGGGGGCGACCTGCGAGGCTTAGAGGAGAGGGGAGAAGGGGTCCTGAAATATTTTTACACCCAAAGAAAGGTCCCCTGCTTTAGGACATTAACACAGATGCTGTGAAAGATTAACCTGATGACAGACCTGTTTTGCTCGCAGCGGCATCAAATAAAACACAGCCAGCTAGACAAGGACCCCAAAATGAACTGCAGCCGAGGGCTTTTTCATTTTTGGCCATTTTGTTTTTATTGTCGTTAAGAGCATTTGTAATCCGTATCATCAACAGGAGAAAAACTGCATACATCTACAGGACTTTTTAAATAGATTTACAGTTGCTGTGGGAGGGAGAGGGAGGGGGGGGGTCAAAAGGGGGTGCAGAAAAACACAGAAGCCAACAAACAACAGGAGCTCTGGGGGGAAGAGAAAGGGATGCCACAAATGACGACGGAAAAAATATACAGGAGCACTTTTATCAAACTGTTGCGAGATGAGTGAGTTTGTCTTTTTTTTGAAACCTTTCTTATTGAGGATTTTTTGTAGCTTTTTTCTTTTTTGTGTTGTTTTGTCTCTTTTACCACCTCCTAAGTTTACATGTAAAGCAAACCTAAGCATCTAAAGTCGAACACGGCAGAGTACGGAGGGTCTGACTGACGGTCCAGAGTAGCTGCTCCCTACAATGAATAATTAAATAAGAACCACAGCTCTGTCCACAAAGCTGCTCATACAGCCGCGTGCCCAGAGGGACCATGTGCAGTCTGAAGTACGTAGACAGTGGCCACTGGCTTTCTGCACTAAAAAGAGCCGACGTTTTCATCTTTAAGCGTTCCGACGTGCCCACCAGGAGCTTTCCGATCATCTGCATTAGCGTTTTAGGGCACATACTGTTTCATTCATGGTGTAATACTGAACAGATGTCGTCCAAAATCCAGTTCAATTACTCCTTTTCTGAATACGCAGTGTTCTCGCATTTACGTGCTTGGACCCCTGGGCAATGGCAACACAGTCATCTGAAATTATTAACAAGCGTAACATCGTTGTCACTAATATCTATAAAACATGAAATGCTCATTTTATCCAATGATTTCGGCAAATAACTTACTAAAATCCTTTCGTTTGAAATAGAAAATAGCTTCTTTTTGTCCTAGAATTGACACATGCTCATCATACCATATTCTAATTTTTTTCTTTTTTTTTTTACTTGCAATAATGCAATTGTACAGATACAAGTTATAGAAGGTGTAATGTTTTCTATATGTGTTTTTTTTAAGATGCTGCTGACAAATAATCGGTGTAATTATACATATATTAACATACATCGTAGTCGTATCGATGGCTGGGTGAGCATATTTAGGTCGCTTTCGGGATGCGTGTGTTTTCAGACCCCATGCACTGAACTGCGTAAAATAATGCTGCATGGAATGGTCAGGTGACCTCCTGTCCATTGTAGAAAAAGCCCCTGGTGCTCTCTTCCTAATGCGTACCAATAGCTAAGCCTGATCGGAGATCAGTATCTGTACACGACTGTAAAAAAATCAAATTAAAGAGCCACTCACACAGTAAACAGGGAGAATAAAAGCACTGGTACCTCTCTAAGCTAAGTAATAGGTACTTTTAGACAAAAACAATCCAACAAAATCAAATAAAACTCCAAACATTGATCCACATCTTCTTCCCACTTATCCTCTTTCCTAGATAAAGTCCAGTCCAGCTCCAGGAGGTTGCTGTTGTTGAGTCGACAGATAAAGTGTGTGATGTGGATGGGATGGGGAGTGGGTGCAAGTCTTTCAGAAACGGTCAGAGGGCTGCTGCCCACCACTACTACACCACTAGAGGAGACTACTGTAGGTCGGGGGTGATTCACAAAGCAGGATGTCTCAGTATTGCTGGATAACTTGAGCCAAATTCTTGGATTGTCCAGGATTAGCTTCACTCTTTTTGGACGTTTTGGGGCTAAAGGAACATTCCAGCATTTTTCAACTTAATCTCCATCCTTTTCTTCTGTAATATAGAGTTGATTACTATAGATAACAGAAAAAACATTGACTTTAAACACAGTTATAACAGAAGCCAGTGGGCAGGTACCCCACTAAATGGTGCAACCTCCCATTGGCTTCTATTATAAGTCTGCTAGGCTAGTTTTGTGTTGTTTTCTAAGTACAGCAGTGTCGAAATAACTGTCAGGGGTAACAATGCAACAGATAAAGACTAGGCTGAAAAACAATGTGTTCCTTAGTTATCTAGCTGAGAAATCCTGCTTTATAATTTCCCCCCTTGGAGACAGAGGGAAGGAGATAGCTGAGTGGTAGCTGTAGCTGGGTGTCTTGGAGCTGGGGATAATGGGTGGGGTTTCACAGTCCCTGTTTGGCCAGGGCAGCGGTCACATCCTCAGCCAGCGTTGCCAGCTGCGGTGACTCCAGCAGGTTGATGCTGCCAGATGAGGACATGTGGCTGTGGCGGTGGGGCGAGGTGCCGCCCGAAAGGCCGGGCGACTGGATCACAATCTCCGCCCCGTGGTCCACTCGCGCCTTGGCCGACTCACGGAACGTCAGTTTGTGGCTTTCGATCTGGAACGTAGGTGGACAAGACCAGGGAGAGTCAATACATGCCATAAGTTTAAAATGATGTATCTCAGTATTATTGAGAACAAATAAGATAATCATAAAGCAATATATTCAATATTGGCCGTAAAGTGACAGGTTGGCAAAAATCATATATAATCATTCGAACATTTGTGATCATTCGTCATATCAATAGAGTTATTCAATAATTGGAGTATTTTTATAATTTGAGTCATTTTTGTCTGGTTTTGTGCCTTGAGACTTGACATTCTGGATTTTAATTTTACTAGAACTTCATTCTTGATGTTATGCAGCTTTTTCGCTTATTATAGAAACTTCTACAGCTCTCTTCATTGTTCTGTGCACAGCTGAACCTGCATAGCTTCCTACGAGTAGCTTAAAACAGGACTTTACACACTTTTTATCCATTTTTTCTGCAATAAAACTGGCTTTATTTCATTGAAAACAAACCTCTGAGTGATTCAAAGCCTGAATGATAGTGTATTTACACATTTTACAAAATTTACAAAGAAATGGACAAAAGTACAGGCAAATTTTAAGTTTACGTTTTAAGTTATTATAGTAATTATAAGGCAATATATTTAATATTGGCTTTAAAGTGACAGTTTGGGAAAAAAATCGTATATTAGCATTGAAATTTGTAATTAGTAGTCATATCAGTAAGTTTGGTTATTTTAAATATGATAACTTATATAATGCAGATTTATTCATTAATGAAAGTATGTTGGGATCGAATAATTATCAAATGAAAAATAACACACTGTAATTCTTTGTTTAGAATAATTTTGGTTATGTCGAGACCACACATTCTGGATTTTAATTTTACTAGAACGTCATTCGTGACGTTATGCAGCTTTCTCAATTATTATGGAACCTTCTACAGCTCTGCTGATTGTTCTGTGCACAGCTGAAGTGTATTTCTCACAGCTATGTAGGTCCTTAATAATATTCCACATTTTTTATCTATTATTCTTCAATGAAACTGGCTTTATTTTATTAAAAAAATTGACTCCAAACCTCTGAGTGATTCAAAGCCTGAATCGTAGTGTGTTTACACATTTTACAAAATTTACAGAAAATGGACAAAAGTACAGAAAAGACAAGTTTCAAGTTAGCTGACTTCTGTGTTTATCTACATATGGTGGTACAACCCCTCACACAAAGATGCATGAGAACAGCTGGGGGCAGTTTCAGTTTACACTGATATGAATTTGGTTGGAAGCTTTAATAAAAACAAAAAACATAAATCTAATTTACAGAAACTTGATTGATCAGCAATAGAAATATCAAATCTTTGAGATTTGTACTGAGTCCTTTAAAGGTCTAAATGAAAAAGGAAGGAGTAAAAAAAACTTTTCCTCCTCGAAATGTAACAGAATGAAAGTATAAGTACTCAGTTTTATCAATACTCAAGTAAAGTACAAATATCCCAGTATAACACAGAAGTATAGTAACAAAGTACGATTTTCACTCCTGGTCACATGCGTCCACTACATATCACCAGTGCAAGACTAACTGTCAACATTTTTGAACAAAGCATAAAACATGACTTTTTGTTGAAAGATTGCTTTAAAGCTGAAGTCGCGTACTGTGGATCTCTCACCAGTACATGTCCTCCCCCTGGCACATGGTGGGCATTGTCCAGAGAGCCCACCTTGGCCTGGGCTTTATCTTTGAAGTCCAGCTTCACACTTTCAATGCGCACATTTCCGCCCCCTGTTGGTGTAGAGCAGCCAAGACAATGGACAAAAAATAATAGACCATAATTAACCCATTCTGTAAGAATCAGACCACCTGAGGACCTCTGAGTCTACTTCTTAGGTAACATTACTTCTTCAGTTTGAGGAACTCTAAGTGCCCAAAGCCTAAATCAAATTAAATGGTTTCTCCCATGGTTAGGATATCGCTGCTGAAAACCTCATATCTCCTTTTTTGGTATTTTTCAGTTTTTTGCCTTCACACTGTGTGTAAATTTCATGATGAATGGACCAAAAGAAATAACTCAAAATTACTTGTAAAAAAGTCCAGGTTCCATTGACTTACATTAAAAGTAAAGTATCTTTTTTCCTTCTCCTGTAAAGTTACCATTTTGGAAATATGAGGTTTTGTTCCGACAGCAGCGATATATATACATATCGCTGCTGTCGGAACAAAACCGACAGCAAAATATATATATATATATATATATATATATATATATATATATATATATCAAATGTCAGAGCATTTAGATGGCCTAAGCATGTATTTTATTTGTAATACATAAAAAGTTTGTAATTTTAAAGGTCTGTGTGTTCATATATCTTCCATTTGTACAGTATTCAGTACATTCAGTCTGACTGAATGCAGTTAAAAATATAACCAGCAGGTGGTGCTGTTGCTCTGCCAAACAGTATTTCACAGCTTGAGCAGTAATTTGGAAAAGTTCATCTGTATGACAAGGCATATTTTATCATACTTGACCAGAAATCTCTTATTAAATGATGTGTGAGCTGATCTGCTGACCTGGCCTGTGGCGGATGTTGTCCAGTGATCCGCATTTGGAGGTCACGTGACTAAGGTCAAGCTTCTTGGACTGAATTTGTACCTGTTGGAAAAGGGAGTTTATATTATGTCGACACGTAATGAGCCCCTATTTGGTGCTTCGCAGAAAAGAGCACTGGGAAAAAGCAAAGCCAAGAAAAGCGTATCAATCTTGGGCAGCAGCTGAGACGCCACTGCTTTAGAATTCAAATAAAACGTCTAATATGACGAAGAGCGCAGATATATCATTACATTCCTGGAGAAAAGTGAACTTAATAACAAGCCTCCACTCTTCAGCTGCTCTACGCTAATGTTTGCTTTGACAACAACCAGAAGGTCAAGAGGGGGGTGCTGTGATTAGAGTGTCGCTGGAAAACCTGAGAATAAGAAAAAAGTCAAAGAGGAGTGAAAGACGGTGCTCCGGGCCAGAGAGAGAGCAGCAGGTATGCAACCAGGGCGCCACACCCACGCCAGCCTGGAGAAAGAACCACGCATACATGCACGACTGCAGTGAGATCCAGAGGCAAAGCAAGCAGCAAAAACCATACACACACATCAACATCAGAGGAGCTGCTGAGTGAAGTGGACACTGTACTTCATCAGCACATTCACTCTCTCGGATCTCACAGGTTGTTCTCTGCTGACACAATGTACAAACATGACTGGCATACATAACTTACTTATATACATATATAATAACAACTAAAGGTATTTAAATAAATACAGACGTGATATTTGCATGAGCCAGCCAGTGGGAAAATAAATAAGTCAATAAGCATCCACCTCAAAGTGCTTGTAGCATTTCAAAAGCTCTTCCCACCTTCAAGACACATCATCAGAAGGGAGTTTTTCTCATCTTTTAGATCTTAGGAAAATCTCTAGAGACTACTGTGGCACTGCTGTGGAAGGGGCCCACTGCTTGCCCACTGCTCGCCCGCCTCCTGGACCAGTTTGACCACCATGGAGCTTCCTGCTGTACAATGCTGGGCAAACCTCACCTGCATGAACTGACCCTCCTGATGCTGCTGCTGCTGCACAGACTCGAACTATTTAATCACAGCCAGTGCTTCACCTGTTTTTCCCCTTTGCTGTATTTCAATATTTTATACTAATGTTAAAACCTGATTCTCTGCTCATTTTGCTCTTTTGTTGTTGTTTGCTAACCGGTGTCGGCCAGAGGAGGATGGGTTCCCCTTATGAGTCTTGGTTCCTCTCAAGGTTTCTTCTTTTTGCTTCATTTTAGCCAAAGTGTCCCTTTAAACTGTCACTGGTGATCCACACATTGTGATTCATGGATCTGCTGGGCACTTTCTGTGTCAGTGGAATATATTATGAAGTAAGTATTCACTACTGTGATATCATTAAGTGTTGGGATAGTTACTCAACAAAAGTAACCCATTATGAATTACTAATTACTCAAACTGTAATGGGATACTTTACCCATTACTTCCTAAAAAAGGCAATCAGTTCAAAAACTCACTTCACAATAAACTTTTTAAGAATAAAATGTAAAGTTTACAGTTCTTAAAGTTAAATCTGGTCTGCTCTGTTTAAATAAGGTTGGGGATGCTTCATATCAGCACGGGGATCTTTACCCATCAGTTTTATTTTAGTGTGATGAGAAGCTTCCACAGATTTCTTGTCGAATTTATGACACCTTCACTAAGCTAAACAACCTTAGTAAATCTAAAATAGCTTTTTTATTGTGCAAATAATCAAAACAGAACTGAACAACATACCGATGAACCCGTGTCAATATTGCTTTCAAAACCTCTGGGCCTCACAAAAAAGGTTCAAAATGCTGTTTCACTTTGAATTTCTGCGAGGTTGAATTTGGCTTCTTCCTTTCCAGCTTCCTGTTAGAATTCCTGTTACCATTTAAGGTGGAACAAGAAGCTGGTCACCAAGATGACAACTTCAGCTTTGTTGACTTTCTCAAGTCATTTCTCTCACACATGCGTCCTATACACTTTGTGAGTCTGACCGTCAGACGCTGCTGGAATTTGGTAAATAAGTCATTCACGACATCAGTTTCTGCCGTCCATCAGTTTAGCCAACCAGGCTCTGAGACCACAATGCTGGTGCTGCCTTGGACAGTACGAGAGAAAACAGAAGCATGGCAATAGGTCTAGTGTCAATGCTAGGCTAATGCTAACTCCAAGAGATTGGGTGTTTAAGCCTGTTGTCTCAAGACAAAGTGTACTACCCCTCCAAGGGTCTGTAAGAATCTGTGGCATCCACCACAACTTGCAGTGCCTGATGACCATAACTGCTGTGTTATTTCAGCAGAGGATGTGTTTGTGAATGGACTGTGTCAGTTATTGGACGTCAGTTCGCCTTGACGAAACTGTGCAGGCGGGAGCGGGACTGAAACATCACTGACTCAGCTAAGTGGGATAACATTAGCACAGTTTGAATTGCGTGTATGTTGAGTTATCTGTGATTAATCAAGGCATACCAGTAAAAAGAATTAGGATAAAACTACCTTAAGAACTACAGTAACCAGTACACCGTTACACCACTCACTACTACACATTACTGTAACAAGTTATTTTGTACCGCATTACTGATCAACACTCACTGCTGTGGTCTGTGCTGCATTCAACCTCAGTACACACAAACACACTCACAGCCCATTCACCAGCATTAATCTAACCGGACACCTGACAGGACACTAAAAGCACACAGCCGCTGAAGAGCGACCGATCTGCTCAAACTGCAGAGCAACACTGACTCCGAATCACAGTGACTGCTTTCCTGAAGGAACAGAAAAGATGCAGCTTTGATTGAGAGACAGACATGAGTCAGTAAAACCAGACACACAAACACCTGCTGACAGTTCACATCAGTGGACATGCAGAGTCAGAGTGGAAGGGGTGGTCAGAGGACACTAGAGGCACTAAAATGTCCTGTCCTCAAACTTAGGTTGTGTTTGCTTTTGTGTGTTTCATCAGTTAACGGAGGATGAAGTTTGAGAGGGTTGCCAAGAATGTTGCTACCAAATCCAGGCCTACAAACAGTCAGCGTCCCTTTTACCACACTAAAACAGCTTTAGTTCTATGAGTTTCTGGAAGAACAAAGTGGTTTGAACATTCATAAATACATTTAAAGGGGAATTTTAGTGAGTTTTCAAAATGTCTGCATAACTCAATGTGAAACAAAGCCATTCAGATTTGTTTGATTTGAAATGCTCCGTTCAAAAGAAACTTACTTGGTGTCTTCACAGTGGTGGTGACAGAAACCAGGGGTCACAGGTTTTCTACCATCTTATCTACTACTCAATACTGGCAAATCTGAAAATGTGTGTTTTCTTTGGGGACTATTTTGCCTTACAACATCCTGTATGTATCCTGTACATCTCCACCATGAATGGTTAAACATATTTTATTTATATATTTATAATTTTCCAAAACCTTTTCACAATGGCCACGTATACACGCAGCCTAGTAATCCGTTAATATTCCGACTAATAGTTTAATCAGAATAACTGGCAGTAAAGAAAACTGTGTAGTAGTCAATGTTTACACCTCAGTCGGAATAGACTAGTCCAACTGAGGCCATTCGGAATACAGTGTCTGTAAATGATCCGTTAAATAGAAGAATAATATCTGTGTAAACGCCTGTATCTGATTACATTCCCAATCTGAAAGTTTAAGTACGTTCTGATCATGTTCGTCACGTCATAGTGAAAGTTTATACCGTCCAACATGGCGGAGCAGAAACTGGTCTGCAGAGGAGACGAAGTTTATGCTCTGATCTTTAAAAGACGGCGGTGGGACGGACGTCCAGTTTATGTGTCTCAGAACACGACGTCTTCCTCTCGGCCTTCTTTAATAAGGACATGTGAAGGACGTTTTCCTGAGTCTGATGTCATTTTAAAGTGATTAAAAACACAAGCACTGCTCACTGCTGCTCATCTCACTCTGACTGGAGTGAGTACTCTATGAATTTTGGATCAGATTACTTGTAGTGAGCATGTAGACGGAGATTTTTTCCATCAGATTGTTGAGTAGAGTGAGCAGATAAACACCTCAGTCTTAATCTATAATCAGAATTTCTGTGAGGAAGCATTAAGAGTGATTAAACACTTTGGACGTCTGGTTCCTATCACCACCACTGAACACAAATATCACATTGAACCACTTATTTAAACAATGGTGGAATTCACCTTTATCTCTGTCTGCCATATCTATAACATACAGTCTATTGCCCTGTATTTAGACACAAAACACTATATTTGAAGCCAGTGCTTCAGCACCTGCCCAATGGTTTCCATTGATGTTTATACTTTTAGTTTGGTAGTGTTTCTTGAATTCGTCCCAGAGTAAAAGTAAAGCGGACACTCATGCTAGTACTATGGTGATGGTTGGACAGGATGTTAGAGCAGATTCTAAGCTGTTTTACATGAATTCTACATGGTGGATACAAGCGTTGATGAAAGCATCAGCTTCTGTTGACTATGAATATATACACAAATGACATGTATATATTACAGAAAGCTTGAAAACAAGAAGGGACTTTTTTTTACACTGTTTCCACTGTGTGAGTATATATGTAGGCTGACACTCAGTACTGTGCAAAGTCAGAGAGCACCCAGTGCACCCAGACATCTTCTTTCAGGAGATATTTCTGAGGAGACTTGATATCAGATAACTCACCTGAATCAGTGAAAAAGTTTCCAAAACTGTAGTTTTAAAAATGATTAAAAGAAATATGAAAATAGGTCTTCTAACAAGCATCCAAGACCTGGTAGACATCAAAACTGCCCCCATCAGATAAACAGCACTTAAAGCTTTCATCTCTGAGAGAGAGGAGAAAATCAAGCTGCTTCAGATCTGAAAACATCCACAGGTGTTTCTGTCCATCCTTCCACTGTGAGAAGACGACTCAGCGCTGTGGGTCTGAAAGAATGTGTAGCTGTTCAAGAAGAACCTCACTGAGAAAAGCAGACGGACACATCAAACAAAGAAGCTGAACGATGGACTGACCACCCCAGAGTCCAGACCTCAACACCACTGAATGTGTTTGATTACTTCAGAAAAAGATCAACCAACTTTGGAGGTGTGTCTGCAGATTCTTTGAGAAACTGAAAGTGAGTCTCCTGAAAAGAATGGAAGCTGGAATAAAGAGTGGACACTGAAAATACTGAAAAATGGTATTATATTTAGATGTTGTAGCTTGTGTGTATTTTTCAGTTAAATATATGCTTTGTACTTTTTTTCTAATGCGGAAAAATGAATAACTTTTATTTAACGGTCATTTTGAAGGTAGTCTCTGACTTTGCACAGTACAGTATTTGTGAGATATTTTGATGACCAGAAGAGCATCAGAGTTCAGTAAATGGTCCAGAAGTGCATGCAGAGAGAGAACAGGACCAGGACAGTGCAGTGGGTTAGTGGTTAATATTGTGCTCCATATAGGAAGAGACTACAAGACTAGAAGGAACACAGTGGACTTAACACTGGTAGTAATATTCAAATTAATGGCCATGCTGTGGGATTTGAGTCATCGGAGCAGCAGGCCGCATTCTGGACCAGTTTGACCACTGTACCAGCGGCAGAAGGCCTCTGGAAAGAGGAAGAAAGAGACACAGGTGGAAGGAGGGAGGGAGGGATGGGGCTGTACGTACATTTCCTCCATGGGCAGAATGCTTCAGATTATCCTTGGATCCACACTTTGATTGTATGTGACTGAAGTCCAGCTTCTTGTTTAAAATTTGAATCTAGAAAAATACAAAGATGCCCGTCTTTTAATGATGATGGAAACACAAACAAGCTGTCCATGTATCAGTAATACATATCAGCGCTCTCAATGAATAGATGGGCAACAGTAATGGCAGCAGGGAGGGAGCTATGGGAGGAGAAGCAACACAGCGATAAACACATCTACATCTCAGTGAAAAAAGGTGAACGAGGTTCTGGGTTTTATGGAAGCCCGTTCCTGCTGGGTAGAGGAAAAAACAGCTTTTAAAATTTTAAATTAGTGCATTGAAATAATGACTTATTTTCTAAAAACAATGACTTACTATCCCAAAATAGTAATTATTATTTATTATTTTTAAAAAATGACTGACTGTCTTAAATGTAAAAGTGCATGTTATCATTTCATAAATTAAATATATTACATCAACACAATTTTGTTCTTTAGTTTACTTACTTTTGACAAGCATTATGTTGATGCAGGGAAGCAGGGTGTGTTACAAGAGGGGCAGGCATAAGCAATATGTCCCAGAGGCATTGTACAGACAGAGACAAAGACCAGTGTGTGCCAGAATGATGGGAAGAGAAGTGTATGGAGAAGAGAAAGAAACTGCTCATGATTCCATGTATACCGCCTCATCTGTCAAACATGGTGGAGGTAGTTTTACGGCATGGGCATGTATGGCTGCTAATGGAGCCAGTTCCATTGTATTTATTGATGATGTGACAAAAGCAGCAGGATGTATTATGAAGTGTATAGGGCTATATCATATGTTCATATTCAGGTAAATGGGTGGATGGGTGGATGGCCAGGTGGATGGGCAGGTGGATGGGCAGGTGGATGGATAGGTGGGTGGATGGCAGGTGGATGGGCGGGTGGATGGATGGGCAGGTGGATGGGTGGGTGGAGGGGTGGGTGGACAGATGGGTGGAAGGATGGCAGGTGGATGGGTGGATGGATGGATGGATGGATGGATGGGTGGGTGGATGGATGGATGGGTGGGTGGGTGGATGGGCCTGTGGATGGGTGCATGGATGGATGGGTGGGTGGATGGCAGGTGGATGGGTGGATGGATGGATGGGCAGGAGGATGGGCGGGTGGATGGGTGGATGGATGGCAGGTGGATGGGTGGATGGATGGATGGGTGGGTGGATGGCAGGTGGATGGGTGAATGGATGTGCGTTGTTTTTGTCAATGAAGAAGCCACATTTACAGTGTGACTCAGCTCTACAGTCACTCTTATGAAACTGAGTTTTGTCAAAAAGGCCTTCCTAAAGTGTTGCTGAGAAAGGCTGCAATGAATGGACAGACAATGTAAACAACACAGAGAAACTCACAAACACAACTTTAGCCACACAGACGACATAAAACACAGAGAAACATGCCTGAAATCATAATCTAGCTTTTCCTTGCCAAAGCATCAGTGTTTTAAAAGTGCTCTCATTCATATTATAGTACACTATAGCCACCTATACATTATCTACAGATGGTCACATTGTTAACAAATTAGCGAGTATGAATCTCAACAGTGTTAGGGTCAGCCTCTGGACCATGATTAGGACCTGGATGAGGGTTAGGTGAATATAATAAATATTATAAATAATAAAATAGAATAAATAATTTAAATGTTGAATGTAAGTTAAAGGCAAGGTAAGTAAGCATCTAAAGTGCACTATCGAAATAACGTGTTACAGAATACGTCTTCAAACCTGACAATGGAGAACAATTTACAACTTTATCAGCTCTAGTAATTATAATTCAACAAACGCGTTTTTAAAGATATAAATCATCATGTACTCATTAAGGGACTTCTGCAGCTGCTCAAACTCATTTGATATCACAAATTTTAAACAATGATCAGAGTTTACCTATACAAGAGTTTCAGAGCAGGACTCGTCATCCAAACTGAGTACTTTTATGCTATGGACTGAACCGCTTCAGTACTATGAGCATTGAGAAATTCCATGTTATTCAATATTATATTTACCTAAGTAGTTGGTTTTAGCACTCATTAGCCAATAAGCATGCCTTTTCCAAAATCGAGACTGCTGATTGGCTGTCTTAGTTATACTCCATATGCATGTTATTAACATCACCACCTCTTGATTTCTCTGCAGCCCACTGCGGTCAGTAAATACACCAACTTCTAGTACATTTTAGGTTTAAACCACATGACAACCACTTATAACTGGTATTGTAAAAGAAGGTACTGTTGGGGTTTAAGTGCAAAACTACAACAGCAAACCCCTGGGCACCTAACGTGTCTCGGCTGATCGAGTACTCTTAGGGTAAGAGATAAACTGCGTACATTTGAGAGCTTACATAAAAAGCATGACAGCATGGACAAAACGTCTGCTAGAGGAGAAGTTATGCCTCGATAACTTTCACAAATTGTTCACCAAAGGAGAAAAGTGCACTGGAGCACACGCAAGTGTTCGTCACCTCACTGCCTTTCTCTCTCAGAGGGCTCTGCTTAACCCCTAAAACCCTCGGCTCATTCAGTTATTAATCTTATGCCTTATTATTAGGGATGTACATCTTTGACCTCATATTGGATTTGAGCACAATTCTTCAGGAAATCATTTATAAAATCCCATCATAGAAGTCTCATCATGGTTTGATTTGATTCTTTTGGCATAATTCAGAATTATGTTTAAAAATACACAGAATACAGAAATGTAAATGGTGAAACTGTTTACAGTAGAAATGGTGCAATACCACTTTTTCTTTTCTGATACTGATATTGAAACATTCAGTTTCAGTGAATATCAATACCAGTCTGATATTTTTTCTTTAAAAACTAGGGATGCACAGATATGCGAATTGTGGGCCAGTGACAACATAATCCAACAAATTTTCATGTATAAATATGATGATGCCGACAAAAACATGATAAAATATATGAAATGGGACCAGAGCCACCTGGTTTAGCATTAGAGAGAAATATAATATGCATTTCTATGTGATTACAAATGCAGAAAAAAAAAATGCAGAAATTAGTGTACAGTAACTCAGTGTCGGCTAAATATTCTGCTTTTCTAGAGCACAAGTACATCAAATATTAGTTTGAAATATCAGCCAAATCTATATTTGATGTACTTGTACTCCATATATATATATATATATATATATATATATATATATATATATATATATATATATATACATACACACACACATACATAAATACATTTTTTTAAGTAAATATCTGCTGATACTGATATGATTCTGATATCATTGTCACAGTCTTCTCACTGATCATACAGCAAAATGTGGGGGGGTCATCACTCCAGTACTTTAAAAAGCGGTGGGTCAAAGGCTCGCTTGCCCCTGTTGTTTTAGCGGCAGCATTTTTTGCTGATATCTGCCTGATACTGACACCTGATATGGGACAGGTGCCATCCCTAATGATGTTTTTCCATTGGGCAGCGTGGTGCAGTATGTTATGGTTATGAATCTGTGAGCATGCATTTTGTTGTCATTTCCAAGGTGAATCATAGCTGAGCATGTGTCAAGTTTGGTTGCCCTTCTTGCTGGGGTACCAAGTGTGCAAAGATAGAACATATGGGTGGGGCTAGAAATGGTGCACTAATTGGTCAAACTCAATCACAGAATCATCACGTGGTGTCACTGGAGTCACATGACCAGAATCACTAGCTGCGCTCCAAAGCCTAGTAGGCAGTGCGGGTCCTCGGTAGAACTGTCCTACTTACTAGCCTATTGGACACACAAATGAATCAGTCCAAAGAGGCTGCGTGGTGACGTCACCAGAGCGGCACGAAACGTGGAAGAAAATGGCACCCATTGCATTGTGTTTTTTGCTTTTTTATTTCTTGACAGAAATGGAGGAGCTGTTCTTATGCAGTACGATAAGCTACATATACGCAAATACTTCTGATTAAAATATGACGTATGGACGAATTGTTTAATTAATCAGTGATTTTACACTTTATAAGGTCATAAAGACGAATTTAAGGACGTGAACAACCTACATTTTAAAACAAGCTCTGCTCCAACGGCTTTCATGATGCTGTTCTTTTTTTTTCCCAGCCCTTAATGAAGTCACTTCACACTTGCAGCCTGCCTCTACATTACAGTGACTCTCACATACAATGAAGCAGAGTAAAAGGTACATGAGAGCTTGAAGTGCCTCCACTGTTGATAATGTTGTTTGTGTTTGCTGTTAATGGCAGATTTGGTTAAACAAAACGTGACCACACAAAGAGAAGGCCCACTTTCACGGTTGTTATGTGGTGGGAAACAGACATAGGTACTGTGTCAAAAGTACAGATAGTTCTGGGTTTGGATTTGTGACCATAACACGCTGTACTGCCCAGTGGAAAAACAGTATGATTTAGTGGAATACAAACAATACAAACAAAACCCCACGACTGATGTAGTTGCAGTTGGCTCCAACTGTTCCACCATGACTCCTAATAATTATCCAGCAACTTCTATAAACTATTCAATGACTACTATGAAGTTCTGAGAGTGACAGTTTGAGTCACATACCCAGAGTTTAAGAGATTCAACAAACCAATGGAAAATCTCACTGAGCAGCCTGATGCTCCTCTATCACCCATACAGCTGGACACCCAGTCTGGCCGTGGCCGGCAGATGCCCAGTCGCTCAGCCCAGAGTGTGTGCTGTGCCTGGTGTCACAGCCGATTAGGCCGTGTGTGTGAGCTCTGCACCACAGAGACACTTCCAGTCAGGCAGGGGGTGAGTGCATATTTTGGGCCAGACAGCTTGAGACTGCTAGAAGAGTTATGCAACGTCCTGCTTACCCCATGGCTGTCCAGTCCCACCATGACCCTCACAGAGAGTGCACCTCAATGCCGCAGTGAGGACTTTGGCTGCTCTTTAGCGTCAGGGTAAAAGGATTTGTTAAAATAACTTTTCTGTAAGCACCCATGACCTGGATTTGCTATGCGTCCAGGTATTTTTTCTTACTTCATTGAAAAGTAACAATGAGAAATTTGGTAACACTTTATTTGGAGTGGTCCTTTGTAGATGATTAATAAACTCTTAACAGAGTATCAGTAACACATCAACAACATATCAGTGAAGCATCAGTAGTGAAGCGTCTGAATACCCTGAAGTAAACATCTTATAGATGTTCTGTTGATACATTACTTACATTAAATAGATGTTATTGTTAATACGTTACTTCCTTCCATTACGCAAAACCTAACCTTACCAACCTTACCCAAAACCTAACCCTAACCCTGGCCCTAATCGTATCCCACCAAGCGCAACACACCACCATAAGCTTTCCCCCCTCGCTCTCCGTGATCAGTGACCATGCAGCTTTTGTTGTCTGCTGTGCTCCACCAGAGCCCTTCTGGCTTACACGCTGTCTGAGTACGATTTTTGTGTGTCTGAGTGTGATTGGTTTCTCTGCGCCACCGCACCCCAGATGACCCCATGAGCCAGACATAAACATGTCACCTCCGTCACGCAGCCTGCAATCAGGCTGTTGCGCTGCGCTCTTACAAGCTGATTTCCACTGACAGAGCACTGTGTGTATGTCAGAACGTTCAGCGAGTTCAAGTTTATTCCATACAGGGAGCCTCAGTCTATCAGCAAAACCCCTAAAACAGCATGGAGTACATTTGAGTGGAAATCTATACATATAGACAGGTGGGAATTAAAGGAAAACCCAACATAAAAGCCCCATCCTATTTCACCCTTCGCCCCTGCCACTCAGCCCTTATCCCTCTGTTTTGTGCGTTCATGTCTAGGGGTAGGGTGTCCTGATTTTTGTTGTGATAGAGGGGTAGGGCGAAGTGTTAGGGCTACATGGTCCTCCAAACAGAGGTTTTTGAGACTCCAAACAGAGTGTTATGAGAAAAAAAGAAAAACCGGCAAGACGGCCGAACAAGAGACCAAAGAAACCCACAAACGTGAGAATTCTCTCCGTTAAAAAATTATGATAATCTAGTATTATCTCAGTTTAATGTCGTTTCAATGTATTATGGTTATTTTCTTTATAACAAGCATAAAAATCTCTAGTAATATGCTGATGTCTCTGTAGCTAGCTAGCTAAATTTCCCGTTCTACCTTAAATGATGCAGCCATTTAAGAAACTCAAATATCTGACTTCAGCTTCATATCACTGAAGAATTAAGGGTGGTCGATAATAAATAATTGCCCCTTCTCTTTGAAGGCATATGATGCCCTAAATGTAACTAAAGCCCAGCAGTGAGGAGCTGAACTTTACCCTCCTCTGCTGTCACTGCAGACTGGCAGGGTTGCCTACAGAGCAGCGCTCGTAGCTGTTAATGAAGTGATGCTCTTTTTATTTGAGGGTCCCATTTCATAGAGGAAGATTTCAACCACTACCCCTTGTAATTCAGTTGCAAGGGGCAAGGAGAGTCAAAAACAAGGGGCAGGGGTAAAGATAAGAAATGGGATTGGGCCGAAGTGTCTTAGTAAGGTGTTGGGCCTTCAAAACAGCTTCAATCCACCTATATATATATAATCTACAAGTCTCTGGAACTGTACTGGAGATCTGGAGGGATCGAACACCATTGTTCCAAAAGATATTCCCTCAGCTGGTGACGTGATGATGGTGGTGGGTAATGCTGTCTAACATGTCAGTCCAAAATCTACTGTAGATGCTCAAGTGGGTTGAGATCTGATGTCTGCGAAGTCCATAACATCACTTTCACACACATCAAACCATTCAGTGACCCCTCATGCCCTGTGAATGGGGGGGCACTGTCACTTCCATCAGTTTTGTATTGATTTGCAGTGACCCCTTCCCTCTAAGGAGGACCCAAAACATGCCAGAAAATTGCCCTCTTTCAACTTAAGTGAACCACCAGACCCCTTCACACTTAGGGTTAAATGTTCAGGCCTGTTTCATCCTTTTGGTGTACATGGTGTTTATCATCCATCTGTATGTGTACATTACTGTCTGCACTTCTTCATATTCCATCTGCAGAGTTACATTTACACCAAAAGATGAAGAAACATTACAGCACATACATTCTTAAACACCATCCCCACTCTCTGTCCTTAAAACAAGACCGACCAAGATTAGAGACGTCTCCTAAACCTGTATTTAAAACCATAAGCTGGGACACAGTGAAAAGGACACACAGGGACACAAGGCGACATCAAGACATTGACGAACAGCAAAGGACACTAGAGATGGGACAGGAAGGACACAGAAACGATAAACCTGCCCTGGGACAAAGTAGAGGTGAGACTGAAGGAAAAATCTGCCTCATTTCTGGCAAATACTAAAAAAGTCATATTCAAAATTTTTTTCTTGTATTTCATTGATTATTTTCCCTAAGGTCCATTTATAATGTTTGTTTGGTTTTATGTAACAAGAACAGATATATTTGTCTCATAAGAGTCTCATTTCAAAATGCTGTATATCCATTTGTAACCATTTTTAATTGAATATGTTTTTGACTAGATTAAAATATATAGGTTATAAAGGAAGTATTAATTGTAATATAGCATTGATAGTGTTTGCATTTGTAATGCCCACTTCCAATAATAATACTAGGAAAAGAAAATTCATAAAAAGTGGATGCATTTTGCAACAAAATCCCTCAGTTCCTTTTGTACGTGATAATTTTTAGCCTCTCTTCATCTCTTAGAAAAGATTTCTTTAAATCTGGCCCTGGATTCGGTCATCGACGGAAGGTACAGCCAACATTTACAAAAACAGTTCGGCTAACCTGTGAATACAAAATCCAGGAACAAAAACTGGGTTAATGATCTGAATTTGAAGACAATTTAATGCAAATAAACAGACCTTTTTGACACTCCAATGATATATGTAATAGACTGTTCTGACCATAGATGTACATACATAGATGCCGCATTGTGTTCAGCCAGGCACGTCAATGGAGCCACCATTTTGGGGCGGTCAGCATCGCTGCTGGACTGCGTTCAGTGCCATTACAGAGTGGCAGTTTAAGAAAGGTACTATTCAAAATTATGCTATTTCAAAAGTATTACACTCAGAAAGTGGGATAGGATTATATAATGGAGGGAACGCAGTGATCCACACTCATGTTTGTGTGATGTTTGTGTGTAGATATGGCCGCGTGGTTGGTGAGGCACAGAGAACCTGTTGATGTGATTGTTTTTCCTCTGGTTTTATATTTAGTTTATTTAATTTAATAGCCTATACAAGGAATCTTAACTTGATGTAGCTTTGTATTCATTTATTTACAATGTTACAAACAAAAACAAATTTGGTGAAAATCGGTTGAGTAATAAGGAAGTTGTGGTCGTTTTAATCATGAGACTCATCATCTCTCAGTACTCGTGTATTTGTTTACAAGCGGATCTTGACCTCTCGAACATGGCGGACACGCAGACGTATCACCTCAGATAGAGAACAACAGATAATGCAGCATCTATGTATTAATATCTAATATCTATCTGTTTCTGATATTGATCATACTACATACACAAACTCCATGTCACTCGAACACACCCTGAGACCTGCCCTGTTCCTAAAAAACGCCGAAGCTATCCTGAAGAATACACACAACAATCAGAGGGTCGAGAGAGCAGCTGATTAGCCGACAGCAGCAACAGGGGGCGGGGCATCAGCGGTAAGACTTGCCTGGCCTCCTTTGGGCTGGTATTTGATGTTATCAGTGGAGCCGATCTTGGACTTGACGTTCTTGAGGTCAGGCAGCGGCTGGTTGATGACGCGCAGCTGCTTGGGTGTGGTGGCGGGCGATTTCGGGGGCGTGCGGATGACGGCCACCTTCTTCTCCTGAGACAGCAGGCTGAGGGACTTGGGGGTGCCTGGGGTGCGGGGAGTGCCTGGGGTGCGGCAGGAGTAGCTGGGTGGAGTGCCGGGGGTGATGGCTGTGGAGCCAGGAGTACGGGGCGTGGAGGTACCACTACGGGCCGAACGGGAACGGGCCGACTCTGTACCTGCAGAAGGAGATAGGTGGATAGAAAGACAGAGTACTTTATCAATTGAGTTGACAGCAGCAGCCAAAGTCAGCAGCACATCAATGTCACATCAAAGGAGATAATCAAAAATAATAAAATTGAATAAATTAGAACGTATAGGTAATGTATGAGTAAGAACTCATGAAACTTAGAACTCAGAGAATAATGAGAACAAGACATTAATTATTAGGATATAAAATATATCATATCTGTCACACCAAAATCTTGTATCTTCAGGTGAAAAAGATTCTTAACTTTGAATGGAAGTCAAGTAATTTTGGGGCATTTCTATTGGTCCTTTTATCATAAAATTATGTATATATATATATACACACACACACACACAAGGTAAAAGGAAAAAAACATCAGTGGTCAGAAGTGAATGGTAGATGACCAGAGATCAAAATTGGTTCTGGATATTAAAATCAAACAGACATGGTATGTTTACAGCACTCTCAAACATACACCACAACTGAAAAAGATAAAATAAATAAATAAGCAAACTGAAAAGAGAAGTTAATAATGACCAAACAATAAAACACCACACTACACACGGACACCTGTGTGTGCCCCCTAGTGGTGATGGATGGTAATGCAGGCAGGATGGAGAGGGGCTGGGTGAAAACAGAGGGTCTAACCTGTCACACTGGGGGACCTGCCTGTCCTGTGCTCCGCTCTGACCTCAGTGCGGAAGGCTATAGGAGAGGAAAGGAAGCAGGGCAGCGGGGGAGGGGAGAGTCAAAAGAGGGGTTAAAGGAATTGGGCTAAAAATCTAATTTACACAATCTTCCGTCCCTTATATCCAAATGTAGTCCTCAGTCAAGACATGTTTGGTGTCTGAAGTTTGCTTCTTTAGTTTTACACTGATGTGTTGAGTCTAATGAAGCTAAGTAATGGAAGCTGATATCGCACCAATTAGCACTGAGCAAATTCCTAAATCATCACACACTTACCTTAAGCTTTGTTGAGCTGTTATAAAATCTCTAATAGACTTGATTGTGTGGTTTTGGATATTGTAACATACTGTCAACTAGAAAAATATCACATAGATAAAAACAGCTGTAACAGCCTGAAGCCTGAATTGTGGATGTACTGCTGCCCATTTGTTATTTGGGGTAAAGAGAAAAGTTCACTAAACTATTTCTTCAAGTTTCCCGATTTTGCCCTTTATCTGTTATGGTGGTGGAACATTTTCAATCCTGGTGGTTTAATCAGCTCCTAGTAGTCAAACATAATCAATCAAACCCCCAAAAAGTTACTTTAACATCTTTATGGATCGTTCTGTAACCGATTAGACTGTGCAGCTGAAACTAACCATTGTGTAACATACGTTTTGTTACTGGACATTAAGAGTCGCATAGACTAGTCAACTGATAAATCCACTAAATGGTGCAGTGAGACACTGTTAGTTGAAAGTTAGTGAAATACAGTAGTGGTAAAAACTACAGGCTGGAGGAGAGAAGAGAAATCACATGATTAGCACTTTATTAGTGTAGAAAGATGAAACCAATTCCACTGCAAGCTGTGAAAAACTGCTAAAATTCAGGCTCGTAAGCCAAAAGGGTAGTTTACAAGAGTCACAGACTCTGATAGGAATAGGCCGTTTGACTGACATGCAAATTGACCACTCACAGAAAGTTTAGCGTGACACGCCCATAGCTAAAACAAACTGGTGTCAGATAAAATGGAGCAGTAGCTGTCAAATGCATAGCACTCTTACTTATGTACAGTTTCAAACTAAATCCAGGAATAATGTCTAAGAAAGAGACAGCATGAATGTATCTGTGACTGTATCTATGGAGGTCTATGGAGATGTGACTGCTGGCTACTAGCATTTAGCTTGATGAACAACTGTTTAAGACTGATAAAGCCAGTTTAAAATCTTCACGAGTGGTTGGTTTCTGAGAGCTGTAGTGATTTTAGTGTGCAGTTTACATCAGACAGTCTGTGCACTTATGTGGGGGGAGTGTTTGAAGCCTAAACTTACTGGAATACAACAAAAAACTCCTCTGCAGTTCACATCTCACACCTCACACAGCAGCATCTGATGCCTAAGAACCTACTAGACAGCTACACATAAAATATCTCTCCACAGATGCCCGGAACAATCATATTTATACATTTTACAACTAGTCAACTAGTTGATTACTTATTTGAATTACTGTGCTAGTTGGTTACTTATTTGAATTAACAGCTGTGCAACCCCTACCACACAAACACTATATGGCCAAAAGTATGACTATCACACCTACGTGGGTTTTTTGGACATCCAATTCCCACTGCGCCGTCCCCCGCCCCTTTTTGCTCCTAAAACAGCTTCCACTCTTCTGGGAAGCCTTTCCACAAGATTTTGGAGGGTGTCTGTGGGAATCTGTGCCCATTCAGTCAACAGAGCATTGGTGAGGTCAGGCACTGATGTTGGAGGAGAGGGCCTGGCTCACGATCAACGTTGCAATTCATCCCAAAAGTGTTCAGGTTGAGGTCAGGGCTCTGTGCAGACCTCTGGAGTTCCTCCACACCAAACTCGTCAAACCACATCCTTATACTGCTCACTTTAAACACAGGGACTCAGCCATGAAAAGGCCTTCCTCGCAAAGTTGGAGGCAGATAATTGTCAAAAAAGTCCTTGTATGCTGTAGCATTAACATTACCATTCACTGGAACTTGAGAGCTGAGCTCAAACCCTGAAAAACAGCCCCACGACATTATCCCTTCTCCACCAAACTTTACTGTTGGCAAATTCAGATTTGCATATCAGACTGCCAGACAGCGAGGTGTGATTCATTACTCCAGAGAATGTTTCCTTTGCTCCAGGGTCCAGTTACGGTGCTTTACACTACTCCAGCCAAGACTTGGCATTGCTCATAGTGATCTCAGCCTTGTGTGCAGTTGCTTGGCTATGGAAACCCATTTCGTGAAGCTCCCGGCGCACAGGTCTTGTGCTGATATTGCTTCTAGAAGCAGTTTGGAACTGTGTAGTGAGTGAACAGAAGATAGGCGAGTTTTACATGCTACATGCTTCAGCACTTGCAGTCCAGCTACCACTTTGTGGCAGAGCTGTTGCTGCTCCTAAATGCTACCATTTCACAACTGTAGCACTTACGATTGACTAGGGTGGATCTAGCAGGGCTGGCATTTCATGAACTGACTTGTGGCAAAGGCAGCCTCCTATGACTGTCACGTTTTAAGTCACTGAGCTCTTTAGTACGACCCATTCTACTGCTAGTGTGTGTCGATGGAGATTGCATGGCTATGCGCTTGATTTTATACACCTGTAAGCAATGGGTGTGGCTGAAACACCTGAACGCAGTAATTCAGATGGGTCCACATACTTTTAGCCATATAGTGTTAACCCTATAATGAGAAAACAAGGGAATGTGTGTAAATACTAAAATGTTCCTTAGGGGTGTGAAAAACTGTATGTTTGTCTTACACGTGGGCCTGCGAGGTGCTGTGGATCCGGAGCTGGTGATGGAAGTGGAGCTCTCCTCGGGCTCGGCAGTATGCGAGCGGCGGGTCAGGATGGACGCTGGCCGAGGCAGAGACGACCTCTTCTCCGGGCTCCGTGAACCTCCATCCTGAGCAAAACAACAGCAGCCAGTTCGCAAGTCACAGATCAGTTTACGCTCTGACCACAACATATAAGCACACTGCTGACCGCAGCAATCAGACAGCTGCAGCGTAACCAGCTCAAGATGGATAAGCATGCTTGGTTAAACTATACACTGCACTCCTGCACCTCTGGACAGGGGCTCTGTTTATAAAGACTGTCATCTGAGCAGCTATTACGGAGACTAAACTGAGAAATGTGCTCCTTCCTTCGTTTCCAAATTTCCAGACAAACCACTGCCCATGAGCGATGAAGCTAAACGTCTGGTTCTTATCATCCATGAATAACAGTTTATGCACTGAGCTGCTGCAATACTGCTCTTCTCAGGGATTCTTGCCTTAAGATCATTGTCTGAATTTATCCCTTAAATGCAGGTGTTTACCATTCGTACACAGCTCAGATCGTTAGCCACTCAGGACTTGTGTGTTTATGTATTATCGAAATGTACAGTCTTGTGCAAATGTTTTGGCACCCCCGGTCAAATTACATTTTTGTGTTGTTTTTCTAAGTGAACGCATCCTCATTAGGAAACACTGCTGATTTCTGCATACTGGGAAAAAGTGGAATGTGCAAAAGTTTGGGCACGTTACACTTCATGCTGTTTTTACCAATGTGTTCTGCAAATATATACCAATTATGGAATAACATTTGCAGAAATATACAATATTTAAGGTGTAGAGGACAAGTTCAAATATTTTTAATTAGAAAATCAAAATGTAATTTGACAAGGGGTACCAAAACTTCTGCATAAGACTATATATAAACATACACTGAGTTACAAATGTAAAACTGTCGTTAGACTTTAGAGACAATGTAAGAATATTTTTACATTTCGTTAAACTTTGATATTTTGTTTGTTACTTGTCTGCAGAAAATAGACAAAAATCTCCTCCCCCAAAATGTAGCAGATCAACCGGGACATGTTTAAGGGTTAGTGTTAACGCTGGAGCTACGAGGCTAACACCTAACAAGTAATGGAAGTTTGTGGCTCCTGTTTAGTATAAAGCAAACTTTATGAGTAAATCATCACACATTTGCCTCAAACAACATCAAGTTTATGAGATTTAGTGTGATGATTTAGACATGCAGTTATATATGTATGTTCATATCTTGGAATTTCTGAATTGTGACCAGGAAAAAACAAAGAAAACAGCCTCCTTAACTGGGAATTCACACTAGGAAGACATCATCAGCTCTGAGTTCAGCATTAGACATCATATCATGTCTGTTTACACCGTCACAGTAATTAAGCACCACTTTACTATTTTTAAATGTGATTAAAATAGTATTTTTACATCAATCAACACAGAAGCCGTAGTTTGTTAAATCTGTAACACTGACCATAAGAGAAAGTAAATCTACCATGAACTAAAAAAGTTATCACTTGTATCACTTACATGTCTGGCTAGCTTGTTGCTAACAATGGGCCGCATTCTCCAATATCTTCCTAAGTTTTTCTTAAATTTGTTCTTGAGAAAGCCCTGCGATGGACTGGCGACCTGTCCAGGGTGTATCCTGCCTTCCGCCCAATGACAGCTGGGATAGGCTCCAGCACCCCACCGCGACCCAGAAGGATAAGCGGTTTAGATGATGGATGTATGTATGTATGATTGTTCTTGAGAAAGATTCTAAGAAAAAGTCTATGTCAGATTCACAACTTGCTTTTGTTCACAGCTTTGTGCTCTTGAGTGTATGTAGATTCTGTTCTTACCTAAGAACAAATCCCAAATGAGAAAACACTGATGAATGTCAGAATCTTCCTAAAACTGCGTAAGTAGGATTTAAGAAGAAATTTCTACCTAAGAACGGTTGTTGAATGAGGCCCAATATTTGCTTTCACTGAGTCATCCATGTTTACCACTGGAACACGTGGCAGTCGAAAATGACGTCATTCTGAGCTCTAACTTCCCACCTCCGAGTTTCGTCAAATGCAGTATATGTCACTGCTACTTGTTAGCTACATTATTTATTTACTAAGTGGATTGGACTCCTTGAGACCACTGGTGGTTCCAAATCGCACTTCGTTATATTCTTCATAACTTTCATATTTCATAAGCTACATTCAAAAGATGGGGTCATATGAGAGCTGTAACTGTCTTCTTTCCAGTCAAATAGATGGGTAATGTAATTTTAAACCCTTATAATAAAAGAAGCTGAACTCACAATTTTTTTTCTACTGAAAGTCGACCCATTTTTCCACAAATCTGGGCTATAAACTATAAACAGATGGCGTCTCTTCAGTGATCTGCTCTGTAAGAATTATTTTAATAAAAAAATACAAAGAGCATCTAAGATTTTCGGCTTTCAGCAATAAATTGTTTGAGGGGAGCTTTTACAAAAAATAAATAAATAAATTTACATTTATTTCATGCAGTTACTGAATAATTTGCTTTATGATTTAGTCATGTAAATTCAGATTGGAAAAAACAAAATATACCCTGGAGAATAAGAGGTTTTAAGGGCTAAAATCTGTAAAGAAAGTAAGAGTCATGTGGATCTATAAATATAAATATTTAATTCATATTTATTTTTATTTTACTATATTTATAACATTTTAAGTGTTTATTTTGAATTTCCGAACCCCTGTTAAGTCAAACGCAGCATAAGTTTCCATCACTTGTTTACTGCATTAGCCTTGTAGCTCCAGTGCAAATCTGAGGAGGCAACTTCAGATGTTGAGCACACCTTTGCTGATTGACTAAAGGTGATTGGATGAGGGGACAACTGTGTAAAACTGGTTTTTGGTCACTTTAAGGGTTAAACTGTCCACTTTAGTGTGAGTTTATATTGAGCAGTTATCACCTCGGCCCTTTCTTACCTTGCCTAAATGTCTGTTAAGTAAGGCAGAGTCATGCGGGCCTGCGGAGGAGGGACGGGGCTCACTGGGATCCGCCCCCACCATCGGCCTCTTTTTATTGAGGGAGCCGGCAGAGTTGGGGCGGGGTGGAAGAAGAGCCGACGCCCGCATTTTAGAGGTGGGTATCTTTGTTAGTGATGTTGGGCTGGGGGTCTGCGATGAGGAATGATGGATGGAAGATGCCAGTTTGTTCATGCAAAAAATTAAATAAAACAAAATAAAATAAAATAAACATAAATAAAAAAAGGAAAACAGACACAATTAAGTGAGAATGGGTTATAACAAAAACCAAAAGAGAGTAAATCACAGTGACGTCAATGGAAAAATAATCAACACAAAACAATATGGTTCTGCATGCACAGTGTGATCTGGGTGAAGAATGAATTCAACTCTATTCAGCATCATATTGTTTCTAAGGGAGCTGTTCAGTTTGAAGTAATACTAATCTCGATTAAAGAAAGCTTCATTTTGTGGATTAGAGGGGGATTTACAAACATTTCAGAGTTGCTCAAGGTGTGTCTCCGCTGTTCCACTGGATTTAGCAACGAAGTAGGCAGGAAATACAAACAGCATAGCAAGCGTGGCATTTGGAGCGAGCAGGAGTAAATTTGCATTTGCAGAAAATAACAGCAATTATGTGAACAAGTAGGTCTGAATTGAAAAGTCAGGGGTCTTTAGTGGCAGTGGGGGCAGCAGAATAAATACCACAGCTCTGTTAATACACACGCAGGGAAAACAAGGGGAAAGTAGACAAGAGCAAACTGGAAAATGCTGAAAATGGCAGGTCAGTGGAAACCTGGGGTCTCGTTTATCAAACATTTGTTCACAGTCAGCTCATTTCCATAAAGATATGCCTCAAATAGCTACATATGATAAACAATTTCCCTTCAGAAGTCCCAAGTAGCGTATGAAGCAAAGCTGACTTGAAGTGTTGCATGTAAAAATGTAGTTCTTACGTGTAAAAATACAACTTTCCATGTAAAATGTAAAAATTGAATATGAGCATTTAATAATTCAGATTTCAAAGTATTCAATTCGAGCATGTAAAAAATTTTGTAATTGTAGAACATAATTCTGACAAGCAAAATTAAATTTGGAAATTCAGACTTATTTTTATTTTACATTTCATATTTATTTCTATGAGCATTTACAGTTTGTTGCAGAATTTCCGAAGAAAAAAAGTGTTAAAACAACTCAAATGTGTCAAATCTTCAAGCAGAGCCATCACATTCAATCTGTAGATCTGCTCCTTTTAGATAATTTTTTGGTTTTATGATTTTAAGCCTTTAGTGGTCATCTGTGCTATCCGCACACTCCTCATCTATACACTGTAAATGGTGGAGTAGGACAGAAGTTGATTTGAACTTTATTAAAATATTTATTTGACCGCTCGCCACCACATTAAGTACATTTTTTTATGTTGACTGATGAAACATTTTTACAGTGTATGAGCTCAATAGTTACCAGTCGTTCAGTCAGTTATACTCAAATAGTAGATAATGAATGGGAGTTTGTCCATCTCATAATAGGTTTACCAGTAATTACACTTTTCTACCACTAGGGGCTTCTGCATACGCATTCTACCCATAGAAATGGTTCATATGTGAGGTTTAGACACAAAACAGTGAATACGCATGGTTGATAAATGGCACCCCCCCCCCCCGGGGTCTAAGTGTAAAGAGCACCCCATGCAAGTCAGTAGCAGTGGTGAAATGAATGGGAAATGCACAGAGGATGAAAATGACAGGATGATGTGCTTCACTTTCTTCACTTCACAGTGGACTAAATGATGTATCGTTGGCAAGACTATAGTGTTAGAGTGCACAAGGCCACATGACACCTACATAAGTCCTTCATGACAACAGATAAAGACTTACATAGACATTTATAAAAGCTTATTCTGTCTGTCAAGGTGGCATTTACCAACTCTGACATCAAGTTGGTATAACACGTGTAAGGTTGTGTCACTTTCTGGGTTGCACTGTGTAGCTCGTTGTATGTTACAGTGACATTACACTGATAATAAGACACAGCTTGCCATATCAAGCTGAAAGGGCTCTGTGGCTCTTAGTTACAGTAAATTTCTTGTTGCCATTTTTAAGATTTAAGCCATCACATCATCAGCATTATGTCACTTCATACAACAGTTAGTTCCGGCCACGCAAGCTGATTGGTTAAGAAGCGTTCTAGCCGTGCTGTTATTTCGCCATAACATCATGGGTTTTTCACAAACACTGTATCACTCCGCTGAGACGCCGTTGCTAAGCAACGACTTTGACAGCTGTAGGAGACGCTCAAGCCATTTGAACATTTTTACTTTGCCACAAACAGAAAATGGACGCTTTTAAGATCACATTTGACCGACAGCTGATTTGGTCAGACTCTGAAGATGAGACGACACTAAATTCCCAAACTGTCATCACCACTGAGCAGCTTTTCAGTCGGCAGATGTGACAGAAGAGCAGCTAAACAACCTGGAATCAGCCAGAAATGAACCCAATACCATTCACCAAACGTGTCGTCTGATCTTCAGAGTCTGACCAAATCAGAATGAGCCATAAAACTGACGCAATAAAAACAAAAAAGCTGCTCAGTGGTGATGACAGGTTGGGAATTTAGTGTAAGGAGCTGGAGAACGAACTCCCGGCTGTGCAGTGAGTGGGCGGAGCTCGTTACTCTGAAGTAGCAACAAGCTGCTTGTTAAGGAACTATAATTTGTCGGAAGGAACTGCGAACATTAAAACATATTAAACGCCGCGTTCACGGCCCAGTTTATTAATTTATTACTTTATTTATTTAACTGTTGTATAAAACCAATAGAACACTCGAGGAGTGTGTTATCGCTATAACATCACGGCTGTGATGATCTACGGCGACCAAATCACAGCCGTGATGTTATTTCGCGATAACACACTCCCTCTCGGGTTCTATTGCTTAAGTGATAAACACTAAGCTACAAAGTCAGTTGCTATAACATGTTATGTCATTTCAAATGTCATGAACCTCAGTGTCTGTGTTTACATGCGAAGATTTTTGCCAATCTGATTGAACACATTCCGATTATAGATGAAGACTGAGGTGTTTATATCCTCACTCTACTCAACAATCTGATAGAAAATCTCCGTTTACATGCTCTTGCGCATGCGCTTAGTGTAGACGTTACCATGGCAACGAGCATCGCGTGAGTCCAGTCAGAGAGAGACATGTCTACGACTTAATTATCTCATTTGAATGTCTGGCTAATTTTTTGACCTTTTCCACACCTTAGTAAATTGTGGCCACTCGTTACTGTCATTAAGAAGGGACGTCACCAGCGGGAGTTTCCCATGAGACAGATTAAGAGTCGCTGCATGTACTGCGCTGAACGTGTACTAAGTCTTAATGCTTAATCCAACATTTTTGTTTAGACTGCTGATGCAGGAGTGCAGGGATACTTACAGACGCCCTGTCCCTGGAGTGCCTCACAGCACTGAGGGGCTGCCGTCCATCTGCTGACACTGCAGCAAGAGGGGGAGAGAGAGAGAGAGAGAGAGAGACAGAGAGAGAGAGAGAGAGAGAGAGATACAAACAACTGTGTAAAATTAAAGACATATAGACAAACACGCTCCATCTCTGTCTCACACAGCCACCTACATACGTGCGCCTCAGCATGCACACTGTACACTGACACATTCACAGTGTAAAGCTGGTGCACTTCAAACGCATTTCAGAGTTTATACTACAGCAGAATTTCCTGTGGACTCCCAAAGTGCCGGTAATGAGCCCTTAAGCATATTTATAAATACATGAGGCGGGAGCTCTGATACAGTATTAATAAGGTTATTGAAATCCCCAGAATGGAAGTGCGTGCAGCCCACAACTACACGGTTTTAGAAACAAGAAACTGCTTTGAAGTTATCTGGCACAGAATAATGCAGCCTTTGAAAATGACTCTCATTACATAAGAGGTTTTTCAGTAACTTCTAATTGGGCCAATGCAGAGATTTACTGGGTTCTGAACATGGATTCAGACACAATTCACAGAGAGAGGAGGAGTCCAGACTCTCTCTCTCTCTCTCTCTCTCTCTCTCTCATTCTTGTTCATTTTCTTGCTTATGCTCTGTCTCAATATCTTTCTTTCTTTTATTCTTTCCATAGTGCTCTCTTTCTGTCTATCTTTTCCTTTTTCTGTATCTCTCTTTCTCTTTTCTCTCTACCCCTCTCGCTCTATCTATCCTCATCATCCCTCACTTCTTTGCTTATCTCTTTCTCCTTCTCTTTTCCCTCTACCCCCTCCTCTCTCTCACATTCTTATTCATTTTCTTACTCCTGCTCTCTCTCTCTCGTTCTTCTCCTGCTCTCTCACTCCTTCCCTCCTTCTCTGTCTTTCTTTCTTTCCATAGTGCTCTCTGTTTCTGTGTCTGTCTTTTCCTTTTACTGTATCTCTTTCTCTTTTCTCTCTACCCCTCTCCCACTACCCCCTTTCTCTCTCGCTCTATCTATCCCCATTATCCCTCACTTCTTTGCTCTTTCTTTCTCGCTGTCTCTATATCTCTCTCTTTTCCCTCTACCCCTCCTCTCTCTCACATTCTTATTCATTTTCTTACTCCTGCTCTCTGTCTCTCTCGTTCTTCTCCTGCTCTCTGTCTCTCTCGTTCTTCTCCTGCTCTCTCACTCCCTCCTGCCTTCTTTGTCTCTCACTCCTTCTTTCCTCTCTCTCTCTCTCATTCTTGTTCATTTTCTTGCTTATGCTCTGTCTCAATCTCTCTTTCATTCTTTCTTTCTTTCTTTCTTTCTTTCTTTCCATAGTGCTCTCTCTTTCTGTGTCTGTCCTTTCCTTTTTCTGTATCTCTTTCTCTTTTCTCTCTACCCCTCTCCCTCTCCCTCTCCTCCCTTTCTCTCTCGCTCTATCTATCCCCCACATCCCTCACTTCTTTGCTCTTTCTTTCTCGCTCTCTCTATGTCTCTCCTTCTTTTTTCCCTCCACCCCTCCTCTCTCTCACATTCTTGTTCATTTTCTTACTGCTGCTTTCTCAATCTCTTTTCTCCTGCTCGCTCACTCTTTCTCTCCTTCTTTGCCTCTCACTCCCTCTTTCCTCTCTACCCCTCCCTCTCCTCCCTTTCTCTCTTGCTCTATCCTCCACATCCCTCACTTTCTCGCTCTCTCTATATCTCTTTCTCCTTCTTTTTTCCCTCTACCCCTCCTCTCTCTCACATTCTTGTTCATTTTCTTACTGCTACTCTTTCTGTCTCTCTCTTTCTTCTCCTGCTCTCTCACTCCTTCCCTCCTTCTGTCTCTCACTCCCTCTATCCCGCACTTTCTCTCGCTTTCTTTCATGCACTCTTTCTCTCTGTGTGCTTCTCTGCTTTACCTGCTCTCTCTTTCTTCTTTTTCCCGTTCTTTCCCTCTCTCTCTCCTGTTCTTCTGTAGTTTCTCGCTCATTTTCTCGTTCGCTATTCTCTCTCCCTCCTGCTCTCTGCCTCTCAATTCTTTTTCCCATAATCTTTCTCTCCCTTCTGCTCTTCCTCATTCTGTCCTTCTCTTTAGCTCAGTTTCTTGTTCATCTCTCTCTCTCTGCTACCCTTTCTCATCTCATGCTCTCTCTCTCGATCAGTTTCTTGTTCACTTCTTTTTCTCTTTCCTCTTTTTCTGTCTTTCTCTCCCTCCTTTCTGCTCTATTTCTTTCCTTCTTCCTTCTCTCTTACTCATTTTCCTGTTCACCTCTTTCTCTCTCTCTCTTTCTCTCTCATTCTTGTTCATTTTCTTACTCATGCTCTGTGTCTCTCTCTTCTCCTGCTTTCTCACTCTTTCTCTCCTTCTTTGTCTCTCACTCCCTCTCTCCTGCACTCTTTCTCCGTGTGTTTCTACGCTTTACCTGCTCTCCCTTTGACTCTATCTCTCTCCCACCTACTCTTCCCCAGTCTCTCTCGCACATTTTTCCCGTAATCTTTCTTTCTCTTCTGCTCTTTCTCGTTCTGTCCTTCTCTCCAGCTCAATTTCTTGTTCACTTCTCTCTCTCTCCTACCCTTTCTCTTCTCGTGCTCTTCCTCACTCTATCTCACTCAGTTTCTCGTTCAGTACTCTCTCTCCCTGCCGCTCTCTCTCTCTATTAATTCTTTTCCCCATAATCTTTCTCTCCCTGCTGCTCTTTCTTGTTCTTTCCTTCTCTCTTGCTCATTTTCTTGTTCAGCTCTCTCTCTTTTTCTCTCCATCCTTCCTGCTCTTTCTATTTCTCTCCTTCTCTCGTCCTCATTTTCCTGTTCACCTCTCTCTCGCTCTCTCTCTCTCTGCCAGTAGGAGGCCTCGTTGTCTCATAGCACGTCGGAGAGCAAACTTAAACCACCAGTTGCCTGGCAACCGCTGCAGAGCTCCTGCATGTCTAGAGTGACTCTTCAGCAGGTATCGCAACACAGAGTTGAGGTAAGGTTCCTTTAGAGAAACAGACCCTTCACCTCTCACAGTCTCACTCACAGACACTCGCTCCCATCCAGGACACGACACCTCACGCTCACAGGATGCAGAACGGCACTTGCATAATGCAAAAAAAGCAAAATTATTGCACAGCTTCACTTCAGTTCGTCGCCACTGTTAACAAAAGTAGGAACGAGAAGCCGATTTCAGCACGAAGACTGAGATGAAGAAAACAGCGGATAAACTGAGTGAGCATGGAAAAAAAAAAACAGAGAGCACAGCGAAGCACATTTCAAAAAGAATTTAAAATTACATCTTCAATCAAAACAGCAACAAAAAAACAACCAAACAAAAACACCAACACCACACCAGCAACATTCATGAACAAAACCAAGGAAACAATGATAATTTAGCAGTAAAAAACACAGTGAATCTTAAAGCAAACAAAAAAACAACACTCTGAATGTGACATGCCAGTGTACATTTGCCAGCCACATTGCAAGCAGCCTCCCTGGGACGGTGTGATCACCTGTGGGTTTCCGCTTAGCACAGACGTGGTGTTGGGTAGGTCTAGGGTGCCTTACGGCGGCCTTTAAAACACTCTTCCGGGAGGGAGAGCGGCTCTGATTTTCAGATTTTTTTGTGAGATCAACCTTCTTAATCACAGCTACAAGAGGGAAACACAGAATCAGGGAAAGAGAAAGGAACAGCAGGATTCAGGGAATGGGGTTCAGCATGATATAGACATCCCTGAGACAAGACACTGTTAGGAAAATATAGAAAGAATGAAGAAGAAATGAATTGTAGACAAAAAAATGCTAAAGCTGATTAGCTTCAACAACTTAAGATGGGGAAATCTATATCATCTGGTATGTATTTGGAAAGTTATAGGAAAGTTTTATAAGCAGCCACAAAAATCTTAATAATAAGATGTAATGACACAGTTTTGGCAAATACTTTGCCAAAGTGCACAGTCATTTCTGCATCAGAAACCTTTTTTCTTCTTCATCTCCTCTTTTTGGACCGGCACGGGCTCCTTCCGCACAGGCTTACGTTCCGGGGTGGAGACTCTTCCTTTAGCCCTGCCTCCTTTCGCCTTCTGCTTGACTGGCTTCTCAGCGGGAGGCTTCTTAGCAGGGCTTTCCATCATTGGAGGAGGCTCGATTTTCTCTGTAGCCATGCTCTTATCATCATCTGCTGTGTACAGAAGATAAAAGCTAAGTTGATGATCAGGTGGAATTTTAGTTATTAAATGATAAATAATATACAGTAATTATGTATTTGTAGTAATCTCCCAATAAATTATCGGCCTCAAGATCTGATCTCTACTTTTCAATGAAGAGTTAGGGATATTAAAGGAATAGTTTGGTGAAAAATCTAATTTATCCATATTTCTCCTTGTCCCAGATGTCAGCCAAGACATGTTCGGAGTCACAATTTTGCTTCTTTAGCTTAGAACTGGAGCAAACTGGAGTTAAGGCTAACCTTGCTAACAAAAACTAGAACTCAATAGTCACCCAAATAGCTCAAATCATTTCTGGTAAAATACATCCCCAAAATGTCTTTTAAACTCTTTCAACTGCATCTAGCACTTTAGAAAGGTTGCGCAGACTTGCTGATGTGGTTTAGAGCACAGTATGACTTTATGAGCTTTGATAATGAACAAAACTTCACCGCTACAGGCAGCCAATTCAGACAATACCATGACTGGGATTCACAAAGCAGGACCTGATCTTACATCAGATTCCTCCATATTTATGACCCTTGTTGATTCTAGATCAGCACTCCTCCTCCTAAGGTGGTTTGTGAAATCAGACCCAGGGGCCGTATTACAGAAACTGCCTATCTTTTTGTCTTAACTTAAGATCTGACAGGTCAAGATAAGATTTTTCACAAATTCGTATTACAGAAGCAAATCTGATCTGGATTTAGGAATCTTATCTTACAGAATCTAACCTCAAGTTAAGAAATCTTAACTCACTCGATCGATGTCGACAATCAACGGTCAGGTCTGTTAGCTAGCAACTGACCATACGTGCAGAGCTGAAACATAAACATGTAATCAAAGTAATCAAGCTAGTTAGCCAGGCAGCTAGCTACCATTACCAACATACAAAAAAGGTCAAAAAACTAAAGCACGATAAACTGAGAGTTAGGAATATCGTGTCAGCGGTTCGTGCTGTTTATCAGAGTCACCGCTCCACAGTTTCAGTTTATCTCCCAAACGCTTTAGCCGAGCGCGCTAATGTTATTCCTCCTAATAAACAGACACACGTTCAGCTCTGTCTCCCCGTTATTCACCACCATCACTGTAATATTTCACCATCAACATTAACACACGAAGGTAATAAGAGGGGACAGTGGAGGTCGAGTCTGCAGCGTCTGGGCTCCTAAAACACTGTTAGGAAAAAAAAAAACTCACAGGTCAAATTACCATTTTCAGTGTAGATAAATGTAACTTTATCATGCCAGTTATAGTGAACTGTGCTGTCTGTCACTGTATAAAACACTGGAAACAGACGTTAAGACAGCTCTGGCGTTTATCTTAAAGTTGAGACAGAATTTAGGAGGTTTAGTCTAGTTAGGATGTTTCTGTAATACTGTTTTCTTATCTGGAGTTAATGGATAGGATTATGAACTTACGAACTGTTGTTCTGTAACAGCTTCAGCCCTAAACTCAGTCCTAACTGAAGTCGTCATGGTGACTAAGCAGATAAGATAAGATTTCAGACTTAAGAAGTTTCTGTAATATGGCCCCAGATGTCTAAAGTGCCTGCTGGGAGTTTTGTTCTTCTTTAATAGTTCACAGTCAGTCATGTCAGTCACACTTTGCTCTAAACCACATCGACAAGTTGGCGCAACCTCAATGAAGACCTGGATGCAGTTTGAGCAGGTTAAAAGCAGTTTTGGTGATGTATTTTTACGGAAACCATTTGGACTAATTGGGTAACTCTTCTGATGTAGCATTCATTAGCAATGTTAGCCTCGCCGCTCCAGCCCTAAACTAAAGAAGCAAAATTTGGACTCCAAACATGTTTTAGCCAATCAGTTACATCTGGGTAACATAGAATATTATGTAAATTCGATTTTTTGCAGAACCATTTTATTATAACTTTAATGTGATACAGCTTTCTCAATTATTAAGAAACAAGCTGCCGCTATGTTCATAATTCTGGACACATCTAACATTTCATCATTTTTTACAGCTTCCTACAAATTAGCAGTCTAGTGGAGAAAGCTTGGATCTTGTAACAAGAATACATGCCTGGGGACAACTTGTTAAACTTCTGGTTCTGGATTGTGGCAAATCCATCACTAACAAGGATTCCCTCCCTAAAACCCACCACCAAATTCTTTAAGTTCATGTCCTTTTAACACCCAAGCGCAATCGGTAACACAACCCGAACAAATTAGCTTGCAAAATGCTTTCTTTTTTCTCCTTGCAAGAAGTAATGTTTATTTTTACACCTTGTCATGTGTTCTTCATATATGACAATCATCTACATGCTTCTTTGGAGTATTTTTGAGGGAACTTTTCCGTCAGGCTAACTTACATTCCATCCATGGGCTTACAACAGGCTTGTTGCTGGGCAATGTTGATGTCTCCCAGTTTAACTGTTGCCTTCATACAGCATTGGACTGGTTTAGAAATGTAACATTCAGTTTGTTCCCACCAAATAAGCAGTCTTAAGTTCCCACCAAACCCACATTTGGCCCAAATTTTTCTCATGATTGTCCTGAGACATTCTTGTTACGAGATCCCATCACCCTGTGAGACTAACAAATTTAAATTTTTGAATGGTAGTATACCAACAAAGACTAACAGGAGCTCTTGACTATTAAAATACATATAATTGACAACTATCAAAACAGCAGTGATTACTTATAAATAAATTAACTGTCTACTGTCATACTTTGATCAATTCCCTCAAATGCCAGAATAAAAAGTAGACAAGGAAAAAAGGAATCACCTTGAGTGTCCACCCAAGAGCTGTCCAAAATGGAGTCATCAATGGTGGTCTCATCCTTGTAGTCATCATAGCTCTCAGTGGGCCCCTCACTCTCTGGCACCTCCTTAGGAGGGTACACAGGAGTCTGAACAGCTTCTGAGACATCTGGGACATCTGGGACTTCCTCAAGGCTAGCAGCCTCCATTTCTGCCTCTTGTGCCATTTCCACAGATTCTTCTTCGTCCTCTTCCTCTTGGAGCAGCTGAGGCAGCTCTTCCTCAGGAGGAGCAGAGAATCGTACACTGTGACCAGGTTCCTCTCGTTCGTCAATGGTCTGCACCACTGTGATGAAGTCATCTTCCACTGTGACGACAGATTCAATTGCAGCTCTAGGCTCTGTGGTTTCTTCTACTGGCGCCCCTGCCCCTTTCAATTCCTCTTGCTCTTTCTCTTCGTCTTTCTCCTCAACTTCATCCTTGACAAGTTCTGCTTCAGCATGCTCTGTTTCAGACTTTTCTGTCTCAATCTTTTCTGGCTCAGCCTTCTCTGTCTCAATCTTTTCTGTCTCAATCTTTTCTGGCTCAGCCTTTTCTGTCTCAATCTTTTCTGGCTCAGCCTTCTCTGTCTCAATCTTTTCTGGCTCAGCCTTCTCTGTCTCAATCTTTTCTGCCTCAACCTTTTCTGTCTCAATCTTTTCTGGTTTAGCCTTCTCTGTCTCAATCTTTTCTGCCTCAACCTTTTCTGTCTCAATCTTTTCTGGTTTAGCCTTCTCTGTCTCAATCTTTTCTGTCTCAATCTTTTCTGTCTCAATCTTTTCTGTCTCAATCTTTTCTTTCTCAATCTTTTCTGCCTCAGCCTTTTCTTTCTCAGCCTTTTCTTTCTCAGCCTTTTCTTTCTCAGCCTTTTCTTTCTCAGCCTTTTCTGTCTCAATCTTTTCTGTCTCAATCTTTTCTTTCTCAATCTTTTCTTTCTCAATCTTTTCTGTCTCAACCTTCTCTTTTACTTCCTCTGTTTCAACCTTCTTTGGTGTCAAATCTGAAGGCTCAACTGTTTTTGCTTCCTCTATGAACTCTTCAGGCTCCTCAGCTAGTTCTACTTCTTCTGCACCTTGTGCCACTGTGCTAGAAATGGGAGTCTCCTCTGCCTTTACAAGATCTGGCTGTGTTTCTTTCTCAACAGCAATCTCTTTCACTTTGACAGGTTCTTCTAAGGGTTTCTTCTCTTCAGTGGGTTTCTCAACAGATCCAGCAGGAGACAATTTTGTAGGCTCTGATTTCAGAGTCTCTGTCTCTTCTACTGGTTTAGGTTTCTCTGTGACAACCTGAACTTTCTCCTCCTCTGGAGCACTCTCCACTGATGATGTTGGAGATGGTTTCACTGGTCTAGCAATCCTGTCCTTGGCCACTCCAGTGAGCTGGTACACATCCTCAGCATCTACCTCCTCATAGGCCTCTTGGTGCACCAAATCTGGCTTATTCTTCACTTTCTCTCTTAGCTCCTGGAGCTCCCGCTCCTCTTCTACACTCAAAGGCCTGTCTTCCATTTCTAGCTTGCGGATTTGCCTCTCATAATCAGCTATTTCAGCCTCTTGCTCAGCTGCAAGTTTGGCCTCTGCATCAAGACCAGGCTTTGCTCCTTCCAAGGTAACTGTCACAGTTGGAGTAACAAGTATTTCTCCTTGTTTTTCTGGCTTCTCTGCCTCAACGTCATCTTTCTGGCCTTGTTCCTTTCTTGTATCCTTCTCTTCCTTTGGTTCTGGGGTAATTTCCTCTTTCACATCCTTAGAAGATGGACTCTCCTGTCCACTTGCAGCTGGACTTGGCTCCTTCTCCTCAGATATCATTGTGTTGAAGATTTGGGTTGGTGGGGAGTCCATTGGACTGTGCACATCTGCAGGAGATGGCATGGGACCTGAGTACTCGCTGAAAACGCAGTATCCCTGCTCCTCCAACTGACTCTCACTTTTTGCAATTCTGTGACTCTGGTCACCCTGAAACAAATGAGCTAAAGAGTCACTCACAAGGGCTGGCATATCTGCAGGGACTGATTTCCTCCTCATAATCTCAGGGTCATTGTTCTCCGTCATCAGCCTCGATCGAGTACCTGCCAAGTCCAGCATTTCAGGCAGGTCTGGAGCCATGATAGCTCCATTTTTATAGTAATACTTTGATGGGAGAGGAGACTCTGGGGACTCAGTCTGAGGACTTGAGGTCTTGACATCGGTCACTGTCTCATGGGGGGGAGAGGATGATGGAGTTGTGACAGATGCTGACGTCTCCAGGATCAGTGGAGGGAAAGCGGGAAGTTTCTCTACTGATGGAGTTGTGACAGGAAGGTAGTCCGCGGATTCGTCGAGGCTTCCACTAGTGTAAGACATGATGTCAGTCGCTAAGGGGGAGAAGTTCCTGGGCCGCCCTTGGCCTCCACTCTGATCCATAGCGCCAATCGTGATGTTCAGGGAATAGCTTCTTTGCTCCAGGGCTAGTTTTCCAGGAGAGAGCCTGCAATCATCCCTCCCCTTTTCAGCTGGTGGAAGGACCATTTGTGCCTCTGCAGTACCCTTTTGACTTGCAGGCTTTTCATCCATAGACTGTGTCTGAGCTAGGGTACTGTAACTAATTTCCGGGAGTGAAGGAGTGGCAGGAGTATCTTTAGTTTCATCTGAGGCAGCGCTGAGCTCATAATAACCTTCTCCTTGGCCTCTGGCTTCATCGGGTTTTGGGGTCGTAGTCTCAAAATAAGCAGACATTCCAGATTTGTCCTTAGTTTGTTCTCCTTCTTTATCTAAGCTAGGAGACTCTTTTTCAGGCACTTCTGGAGTTTTGGCACTCACTGTAGCTTCTACCTGCTTGTCTCCAGCAGTCATGGCTTCGACTAGTGATTGCTCTCCATGTGTTTGAGACTTACTGGAGTCAGGTGCATCTGAAGAAGCCTGTTTCTCAACACTGATTTGTAAATCAGGCTTTTGAGCTGAAGGTTCCTGGGGCTCTTTGGCATGACTCTGGCCATTTGGGGGAATGGCAAAAGCCTCGGTGTCACACGGAGCAGGTAGCGGGGTATCTGGCAAGTCTTTCTCAGGAACAAGACTCTGGTAAGTGGGAGGATCATCAGGGTGCACCTCGGATTCAGTGAAGTCCATGCCGACTGGTGCGGCCCGCTCTCCACATGGCTTTTCCGTGTCCATCTTCACAGCTGAAAGCAAATCTTAAATGATCTGGTTGTGCTGTGTTACTAATGGATCAGGGTCTATGGATTTGCCAGGCCAACCACCACACAGACAAGCAAAGCCCAGCGTTCGTCACAATGTACAGCGCCGCAGATGAAACAAGACAGCACATACCAATTCAGTGATGAACGGAGCGATGGCATGGATGTGACTGGACCAACATGCAAAATGCTGGATGGATGAGATCCACACGATGAAGATGAAATGTCCAAGAAGGCGTGGTCTGATATGGAACCGCTGTTGGTGCACCACATAGGACTGACTTTATTATGTAATGACTTCTTTTTGATAAATACAGTAAAAGTACGACATTAGAGTTTATACTTTAGTGCTGTGTTAAATTATCCATGATACAGTACAATGATATTTTATGCCATAATTCAAAGGACTACAATAAGCTTGTGAGTTTCAATATGTTTGAGGTATTTGTTAGTTTTGATGCAAATTACGTTACTTATAAATGACAAACAGATTGCTTGTACAACATATCAGTGGACCAGATCTTGTAATGGTCATTAAAAACCATTTTCAGTTAATGACAAAAAAAAAAGTTAAACCTGGGACAAATAAAATGATACAAAATAATATATAATATTGATCACAATATATATACATTTCACATTTTAAAATAAAACAGATGAAATGACTGTGCTTTGATACAAAAATAAGAGAAAATCAAATCAGAAATTTATGATTTTGAAAAAATCTATCGCAGTAAAGCAGAACAAAACCAAAAATAATAGGATTTGCATTAAATCCTGCACGTAAATAAAACACAGGTGATTTACAACAGCATGCTGAATAGAAACAACCAGACACTGGCAATGTAGCTGGCAAAAAGATACTGAGCAATGGATGATAGCTGATGGATAAAGGCCGGCCTGGCAGCAGTAGCGCTCATTGTGGGGAAAAAGCGGTATGTTTCAGAGAAAGCTTCACCAGAAAACAGAAGATAGCCACTGTACTGAAAACGGCAATTAGGAAAAGAGAAGAAAAAAGAGCAAAAAAGGAACAGAACGACAAACACACACACAGCTCTGGCCACATAAGCAAGTCACCACCAAGCCTGTGTTGCCTTGCAGCATCAGCAGAGAAGAGGACAATTTTGAGCCATTCTTCCACATTCCCTCAGCTCATAGCTGTCAGACTGCTTTAGCTTTTCTTGCTTTTTCGTTATTTTTTAGGAAAGCGAGAAAGCATGCAGGCCATGGAGAAGGGAGGACACACCTTTCTCAGGGCTCTCTTCCCTCCCTGCCTCCTCGGTGCTCCCGTTAGGAGCTCCAGGGCCAGCAGTAAGCGCCTGGACTTCGGCCTGCGGACAGGGCAAAGCCTGGGCCTCGCCTACAACCTCTGCCTGTTCTAAGAGCTGGGATGGGGGTTCCTGCTCAGGCTCCTCCCCACTCCACTGCTCCTCCAGCTCCTCCTGCTCCTCTAAAGCTGCTGCTGCTGCAGTGTCCTCCTCTTCCTCCTCCGCTGCGGAGAGAGCCTCTATGGTCTCTTCTTCTTAACAAAAGAGGGGGACAAGTGGAAACATCAAGACTATGGACAACACAGACTTGGGTTACAAGGGTCTGAAGGACGTGGGACACTTTCAGCTCTGATAGGAACAAATGTCAAATTGATGCTTGTGTACTGGTTCGGTATAAATGTGGAAGACTTTGTTACACCTGACCTTCACTTCATGCTGCTGAGTTTGGATTGAAGAGAAGACTGGTCACACTCGTTGTCAGGTTGGTTAAGTGAAAACACGGCCTGCTCAAATACCTAATAACGCATTTGCTATTAGGTTCTCAAGAGGTAGGTGAATAAGTTTGGTTGTTACTTTAATCCATGAACAAACTGTAATAACCAAGCAAACATTCGTACACTCAAGACTAGCTGTCCACACCATGGCTTAATTCACTGCATCCTACTGTATCACAATGTATCATAAAATTTGGCTTTGGTTTTATAGCTTACAGCATTTTCTATACTATTTATCAGATTGGTATGTAAGATAGAAGCCCAAATCACAATTCATGCTGACTCATGCTGATAAACAAAGAATTACAACAACGGATCATCAAGGGGTCATTAAATTTAGTCCTGGAGGGCCACAGTCCATCACGGTTTGCCAGTTTCCCTGCTTCAACATATTTGAAACAGCTCTCCTGTCAATTAATACATTTAGCTGGGGCATTTTTCCACTGCACATCTAAAAACAAGAACTGATCCAAAGGGGAACCAATGGAACTGACAGTTCTAGTTCTAGAACCTTTTTAACCTGCTTGAAAGACATCTGGAGCAGCCATACTAAGGGTGTGTCTCAAAACCTAGTGAGCTCTCTACATAGACAGCATTTTACGTCCTAATATGCCCACCCCTGACAGGAGGCTGTCTTAATTCTTAGACACCTCAGATATGCTGCCTACTGATGTATCTTATTTTGGCCGAAAATCGAGAGAGCATCAGATGTTTCCTCAGCCGCTGAGGCAATCCCGTGAAGATGCCAGGCAGAACCCGTGCAGCAAGCAGTGAAGTCATCAAATGTAAATTTTTCTCATTTTTAGTGGAATTTTACGTGTTTTCTTGTCACAAAGGTGCACAAATAGCCACTAGTTTGCAATTTGGGTCTGTCAGTGACCATTTTACAGTTTTTCGGAGCACCAATCCATTAGCATGCATGCTAGTGGACTTTGAAGCCTCAGGCTATTGTTTTGAATAGCCAGCTGGCTAAAAAACTTGCTAGCTAACGTTCCAAAACAAGTGGCGACTTCATCGCTGTCTAACTAGAGTGTCTCATTTATCTGTCTCATAAGGTTAGATGACGGTTGGAATGCTGCCTACTTAGACAGACGCCTATGTAAACAGTGGCTACTAAGAGAGCTCAGCAGGTTTTGGAAAACACCCTATATGTGATTAAGAACGTAGTTCTTTTTTGGTAATTTTAGTCTAGAACGCTAAATTAGCCACATTGCTTGCTAGTTAGTTTCACTTACTGGCTACAAAAGGTGGTTCTGAAACGATATACTGCACAGTTCTGCATGCATCCACTCCAAACCTGTCTACACTTACACAGATGAATGTGTAGAGTGCAGCTAAATAAGCTTGACACTAGCTGTGCTGGCATAGTTGTGCTTTTCTGCATTCATACAATCACACAGAATCATGTGTAGAACCAAACAAAGCTTATATCTTCTGACAGTAAAAGTATGAGCAAAAACTCTCATTCATAGCTAGCATAAATGCTAATAACATTAGCATTAGCTTCAAAGCTAGCTTATGTCACTCTATGAAGTAATAATTCCAACAACATCATTACAGCATACTAGTTTACATTCTGGTGCATTTATTGGTCATTTACTACACTCTTAAAAGGAGAGGGTGCTTTGAGGGTTCTTTAGTAAAGAAATTGGTTCTATATAGAACCATGAACACTCAAAGAACCCTTTGCATGGTTAAAGGGATCTTTGCATCATGAAAGGGTTCTTCAGACTGATGGAGAATGTGCTGTTCTACGTAGAACCTTTTTGAAAAAGGTTCTATATAGCACCCAAAAGTGTTCTTCTATTGTTATGGTGTCAAGCTTCTAACAACAGTAGAACCATTTTGGGTGCAATATAGAACCATTTTCAAATAGGTTTTATATAGAATCATCTACAGCACATTCAGGCACATTTTTCATCCATCCAAAAAACCCTTTTATGATGCAAAGAACCCTTTAATCATGCAAAGGCTTCTTTCAGTGTTCATGGTTCTATATAGAACTATTTTCTTTACTAAAGAACCCTTAAAGCACCATACTTCTAGAGTGTAATGCTTGGCGACTTCATCCTCACCTGGAAGAGTAAAGCATTTGCAAATCTGTCGTTGCTTTAGGCTGTTACCAAAGTCAGAGGGGAACATTCTTGAGTTTCATTAGGTTCTGTTGGTTGCAATCTTGAGCAGGTAAGAATTAAAACATACACTGGAACCTTCGGTACCGGTCCAAAGGCCAGTGGTGTACAGTCCCAGATTCCTGTACCTTGTGCAGTGGAAAAATGGCAGGAACATCTCCAAACTGTGCTTGAATTCAGCCCTCCAGGACCAGACGTGATGACCCCTGCTGTCGGAAGAACTGACCAAGAGCAACGATCCCCATGAAAATGTCCAATATATCTGTTTACAGTGACTTCTGTTAGTAAATTCTGAGCTAGCCCTGAGGTGGCTAATCACTGTTTTGGCAGTTCCTGATCTGGGCTTCACAGACACATTGTTAATCTCCCAGCCACACTGGACGGGTCAGGAAAACTGTAAATAATGATTCATGTAGGAGCTCTACTGCTAAATACTGACTCAGAGCCTGCGACCCCCCTGCATGTGAGTCTATTTGAGTCACACATTCTTTCTTTCTCTGCTTAGAGCAGCAGCTCTCATAGACATTCACATGTAAATAAGTGTCTGCCTCCAGTGTCTCTTTCTACTGGTGCTTATTGTCCAAAATCCGAGACTATTTACCTCGTCATTTAGCAGAGTTTTCATTTCTAAGATGTCATTTCTGGCTAAGAAAAGCCGACTGAGGATGAGAGTGCAAAGAAAACCCTATTCCTTCAGCACTAGTTCTCATTTGTGACAGCATAGCGGGCTTTTTCGGCATTAGGATGCAATCAGAAGGCGGGGCGCGATAGATGCTAAGCTGTCAGAGCAAATGCGAGACTAGGATCCAGAAATCCGGCTTGGAAAAAAAAGTGGCTTCTCGACAGCAGGCGTCTGCAGCCCAGGGTGTTTTTTACGAAGAATGCTGCTGCTGCTGCTGGGAATCAGGCTGGATCTGGCAGCGCAAGGCACACCAGGTCAAATCTCAGCAGGACGCCGCAGTGAGGGTCAAGAGAGAGAAAGAGAAAGGGAGAAAGAGAGAGAGAGAGAGAGAGAGAGAGTGCGACAGTACATAGACTTTCCTCTCTAACTCAATGTCCTTCAGTCAATCACAGGCCAAGTTCAGGAACTGACAGGGAACGTCCTGTTTTTGTTGACTGTTGCGCAATAGCTTCAGAAAGTGTGCATGTGTCAAAAAAGTGTACGAGCTGAAAGTCTTCCTGTGATCTACAGCATGTGTACATCAGCAGGTTGGGAAATGGGAGGGGCCTGATGATGATGGGGCGGGGCATGGACACATGAGCATGTTTTCTGGGCCGGATGACGGACAGACAGGTAAGTCGGACACACAGGAAGACGGACACACCGAAACAGGCAGAGGAAAATATATGCACGGCATGCTTGACTGACCTGCTGATGTTGCAAGTCATTTGGCTCACAATTCTCAGCGATTTTTAGCATCGTTTTCAATTTCGTTTCATTTTAATGCCCTAAAACTGAGATGCGTAAAGGTGTCTCCTTATTTCTGTGCTCATATGTGGGTTCACCTGGCCATAAATGATGAATTTTAGCATCATTTGAATTTGGTGACCACTAAAGGCTCAGCTGGGGCCGTGAGCCGAATGGCTTGGACTGAAATGTCCGGAAAAAACGCACAGACGAAGAAAAGAAAGGACACGCGCCAGAACGAAGAATAATAACCCACAGACAGAGCAGCACAACACAACAGAGACAAAAGACGAAGGAGGGAGAGGAGGGGGAGGAGGGGGTGGTAGACCAGAGAGGGGGGAGGGAGGGAGAATGAGAAAGGAGGAAAGAATAAAAGATAGAGAGAGGAAGTATAACAGAGAGAGCAAGTAAAAGAGAGGGATAAAAAGAATTGAAGCAAAAACAGAAAGGAGAAAGAAAGAAGAGAGACAGAATAGAGAAGAACAGAAGGGAAATGAGAAAGAAAGCAAGAATAAAAGATAGAGAGAGAAAGTAAAACACAGAAAGTGAGCAAGAGGAGAAAGAAGAAACAAAGAAGAAACAAGGAAGAAAGAAAGAGAAAGAGAGAGAGAGAGAGAGAGAAAGAGAGGGAGCAAGAATAAGAGCAAGAGGAGAAAGAAAGAAGAAAGAGAGAAAAAGAAGGAGAGAAAGAAAGAGAATGAGAGAAGGACAGAAGGGAAAAGAGAAAGAAAGCAAGAATACAAGTCAGAGAGAGAAAGTAAAACAGAAAGAGCGAGTAAAAGAGAAAGAGAGAAACAATCGGAGCAAGAGGAGAAAGAAGAAAGAGGAAAGAGAGAAAATGAGAGTCAGAGAGAAGATAAGAGTCAGAAGAGTCAGAAGAAAGAAAAAGAGAATGAAGGAGAGGGTGGGGACACATGAGGTGAGACAGAAGTGTGGATAAAATGCAAAGGGGAGAGGACTGGAGAGAGATAAATTAGAAAGAAAGAAAGAAAGAGAAAGAGAGAGCAGAAAGAAAGAAAGAAAGAAAGAAAGGGAGAGAGAGAAAGGAAGGACAGGGAGAGGGAAGAAGGAGGGGATGGCGGAGAGGAACCATGCGTGGTTCACCTTCGATCTGCCTAAAGGCAGCGGCCTGCCCTGAAGGCCGTGCGCCAGAGAGTGTCCACTCTGGGCTGAATAAGGGGTGGTCATAGTACTCCTCGTCAGAGTAGTAGGGGTCATCCTCGGGCACTGAGACTGAGATGGAGGGGGCGAGGAACTTGCACCTCTCCCGAGAATTTTGGAAGCGGTGGAGAGGCCCAGCCTCCTCCTCGTCCCCTACATCTACAAACACACACACACACACGGAGAAGGAACTGCAGGGACAATCCGGACACAGAGAGAGAGAGAGAGAGAGAGAGAGAGAGAGAGAGAGAGAGAGAGAAGGGGAGTGAGAGAAGGTGAAGGAGAGAGAGAAAGAGGAAAAGAGAGAAAGAAAGTAGCCAGGTTTCCATTCCATGTCACAAGCCTCATTGCTCAGTTCTTATTTTTGGTCAGGTCTGATTTTGCTAACTCGATGGTTCTTATTCATCTCAGTATGTGACTCAAGTCTGTCATTAATGTGAATGAAGCTGCATCATGAAACGACCCACATGGGCACATCCTAATCAATAACGCCACACGAATTAACGACCTGCGTCACAAACAACAAACTAACCAGCAAAACAAGCCACCATCGCGAACTTAATTAGCTCTGAACAGCTCTCAGCAGTTCATTATTAGAGTGAGATGAAGAAGAAAAAGGGCCAGATGCTTTTGCAGCATTTACTGACTTGAAAAAACATGAATGTTGATCTGAGCGTTCTCAGGTCACACGGCCCAAATCAGACATGTATACAGTCTAGGACCACACATGAAAGAAGCTCAGATCTGATTTGAAAAGATCAGATTTGCGTGTCCACACAGCTCTGAAAACATCAAATATATTTCACATTAAGGCAAAAAAATCAGATTTGTGCCACTTCAGTCTGGAAATGTAAGCATAGTCAAAAACTCTCAGTCACATTCATAAAAACACCTCTGAGAAATATAGAGAGAGTCTACAGACAACAATGACCAAAAAGACATTTACACTGTATAAAGGGTTAATGTGACGGTTTCAATTGTCTCTTAAACAGGCGCTTACACTGGCTACATAACACTGACATAACCACGCCATAAACCTGTCATGGCTGATGTCATTTGCTGTCATGACAGATTATGTCCAGTAATATTATAGTGTCTCCTGCCTTCCGCCCAATGACAGCTGGGATAGGCTCCAGCACCCCACCGCGACCCAGAAGGATAAGCGGTTTAGATGATGTATGTATATTATAGTGTTAAGTTACCACTACAATCATTAATTGTCATGAAATGACATAATTAATAGTAATAGTAACATGACATTGCTATACAACCCTGTTTCCAAAAAAGCTACAATGGCACACAAATTATAAATAAAAACAGAATGCAATGATGTGCAAATCATTTAAACCCTATATTGAATTAAAAAAAGGTAAATATATTAAAACTTTATTGTTTTTTGAAAAATATATTTTGAAAAATTATATTTTGAATTTGATGCCAGCAACACATTTCAAAAAAGTTGGGACAGGACTGGTAAAGTAGTGTAATGCTAAAACACCTGGTGGATCTCACATGTCTCAACAGGTCAGTAACGTGACTGGGTATAAAAAGAGCATCCCAGAGAGGCTGAGTGTTTCAGAAGTGAAGATGGGGAGGGGTTCACCACGCATGAGCAAATCAACAATACAAGAAAAAAGCTTCTCAATGTAAAATAGCAAAGAACTTGGGGTTTTAGTTTTATACGGTACATAATATCATTAAAAGATTCAGGGAATCCAGAGAAATCTCTGTATGCAAAGGACGAGGCCAAAAACTAATATTGGCTGGCTGTGATCTTTGGGCCCTCAGGCAGCACTGCATTAAAAACAGACATGATTCTATAGTGGAAATCACTGCATGGGCTCAGAAACACTTCTGAAAACCACTGTCTGTGAGCACAGTTCATCGCTGCATCCACAAATGCAAGTTAAAACTCTACTATGCAAAGAAGAAACCATATATAAACAGGATCCAGAAACGCTGCCGCCTTCTCTGGGCCAGAGCTCATGTAAGATCGAGGTGAAGTGGAAAAGAGTTCTGTGGTCCAATGAATCAAATAGTGAAATTCTTTTTAGAATCATGGACACTGTGTCCTCCAGGCTAAAGAGGAGAGGAACCATCCAGCTTGTTATCAGCACACAGCTCAAAAGCCAATATTCATGAAGGTCTAGGGGTGCATAAGAGCACATGGCATGGGTGACTTGCACATCTGTGAAGGCACCATTAATGCTGGATGATATATACAGGTTTTGGAGCAACAGATGACGTCTTTTTCAGGGAAGGCCTTGATTATTTCAGCAAGACAATGTCAAACCATATTCTGCATGTATTATAATAGCATGGCTTGGATGCTAAACTGACCTGCCTATAGTCCAGAGCTGTCACTCATCGAAAATATTTGGCACATTATGAAATGAAAAATATGACAAAGGAGACCCTGAACTGTTGAGCAGCTGAAATCTTGTATCAAGTGAAAATGGAAAAAAAACATTTTACTTTCAAAACTACAGCCGTGTCTCCTCAGTTCCCAAACACTTACAGAGTGTTGTTAAAAGAAGAGGCGATGCAGCACAGTAGTAAACCCCTGTCTCAACTTTTTTGAAATGTGTTGCTGGTATCAAATTCAAAATGAATATATATTTTTCAAAAACAATTTTATAAAATCTCTCAGTTTCAACATTGATATGCTGTCTGTGTATTATTTTCAATATAATCTATGGTTCAAATGATTTGCACATCACTGCACTCTGGTTTTATTTACATTTTGCACAGCGGCAAAAACTCTTTTGGAAACAGTGTTGTATTACTGAACCAATCTGTCCTGACATCCCTTAACAGCATATGAAATATATCATATGTTCATGGCACGGTCAACGTTATGTCAACGTTATGTTGCAAGAGTTCCCGATTTGTCTGTAAACTCACTCCACAGTCTCAGAAGTGGCACCATATGTTTTTAACTGGCTGATATCACTGTTATTTTTTAGTTCAAAATAATTCATTATGTCGTGTTTTGTTTCCATGACTGGACAAAAACGGAAACACCAGATTAGCCACATAACCACTTTTCTCGCATTTATATTATTTATTATGTTTCCATCATAATTTATCATTTTTTTTTAACAGCAAAAAAATGTATCCAACTCAAGCGACCTTACGAATGTGTGAATTTTACCAATTCTATCCGATATTCGCCGTTTCCTTTTAATTTCTTTTCAATATGCCTAAACATGCATAATGATCCATTGATGATAACCTGGCTAGCGAGGGAGGGAAGCTAGGTTATCATCAATGTATGATGACACATTGATGATAACCTAGAGAGAAGAGAGTAAGAGAGGGAGAGAGAGAGAGAGTCTGGAGGAGAAACATGACAGAGAAGTAGAGAAAGTGCCAAAAGTTGAAAAAAGAAAGGGAGAATAAAGAGAGAGACTGAACGTAAAAAGTGCGAACAGAGAGAGAAAAAGAGGCAGGGAGAAAGAGAACAGGAAGAGGTAGCAGTAAAACAGAAAGACAGAACACAGTAACGCAGATGTAGACGGATACTGGAGAAGGAAGTGAGGAAGAGAGACACAAACACACAAAAAAATACACAACACAGAAACACAGGAACGCACAAGCACACGAGACACAATGACCAGGAACATGAAGAGCTGCTGTGGTGGCACCGCGTCATTCTCACACACTGAACAGAGCTAAGCTGCATGGATGCAGAGGGTCCCATTCACAGGGCCACGGAACAGCGGATCATTTAAGACCATCTGATCCCAGTAATACTGGGCTACTGGGGGAATCAGTAGCCCAGTAATTTAGTAAAGCCTCCACTGTTTTATTACTATTTATGTAATTGATACTATTATTACAGTATTTTTTATTTAAGGCTTAATTCTTACCACATCATTGGCTGCTTTCAGTTGATGGCTAGTATAAGTGAAGACGTCAAAATTACAGAAGCTGATAATAACAAACTTTTTTCTGTGGCTACAAACCAGAACAAAAACAATTTTAAGGGAACCCAAACCATTGTGTGTGCCATGTGGAGAGAAACTAGCAATGAAGTTCTTCAATTACTTCACCCTTTGCAGACAAAACATTCCTTGACAATAGTCAAACATAGGCTAATATGTGTGGTGTGGATTCCTGCCAGTAAACCGAGCTCCCCAACTGAGCCGAAGCCCATGAGAGAGTATAACTGTCTTCTCTCTCTCAGGGCTGGTAGGATGGACCTCCCTCTCCACCACTCACTCATTACTAGCCATCACTCATTACTAGCCAACAAAGGCATCTGTAAGCTTATGTAACATAATTAGTCTTTTCTTTTCAACCGTTGCAAGTAAAAAACATCCCGAGAGTGTATTTTGTATCAGAATCAGAGATGAAGAAGCTGTGGATGTCACGTCCTGATTAGCAGGACACTTAATCCAGTGTAAACGCAGGCATCCCAGTCAAATACAGTTTAAGGGCTGCAAGTTCGAATGATGCCAAGCCCAGACATTAAAGGCAGGCCTGTAATGTACCAGGTTTGGGTGTGAAAACACAACCAATAATTAGGATGATGTGCTTGTAATATGGACATTTTTTAACTGCATATTTCAATAAATACACACTTAAAAAGAGATTTCTTCAAGGGTTCTTTAGTAAAGAAAATGGTTCTATATAGAACCATGAACACTCAAAGAACCCTCTGCATGATTAAAGGGTTCTTTGCATTGTTAAAGGGTTTCTCAGACTGATGGAGACTGTTTTACATGGTTCTACATAGAACCTTTTCGAAAAGGGTTCTATATAGCAGCAAAAAGCGTTCTTCTATTGATACAGGCTTGGCATGGTAACAATGAAGGAACTCTTTTTGGTGCTAACACGTTCTCCACCACTCTGAAAAACCCTTTAACGATGCAAAGAACCCTTTAGTCATGCAAAGGGTTCTTGGAGTATTCCTGGTTCTATATAAAACCAATTTCTTTACTGAAGAACACTTGAGGAACCATCATTTTCAGTGCGTAGACTTGCTTATTTGATATCTGACTGTCTCTGATACAGTGTTAACTATACAAATAGGCAAAAATGTGTGATTTTTTCTTATAAGCAAGTCTAATTGAGATTTCTTAACAACTTGACATGGTTTGAAGCAAATGTGTGATGATTTTAGCATGCAGTTAGCACAATGATAACTGGTGGCATAAGCTTTCACTACTTGTTAGCTAAGCTAGCCTCATTCCTCTAATGCAAAACTAAAGAAGCAAACTTCAGACACTAAAAAAGGGGCAAAAAAGGGAACGTTTTGTAAATCTTTGTCAGCTCATCTGGAGAAAGAAGCTCTCGCTGGAGTCAGTGAACAAGTTAAGCAATGGCCCAGGCCTCCACCAGCTCTTTCAGGATGCCGTTACTACTACAGAGCACAGACAACGAAAAAAAACAACAGACACAATCAAAGTAACAAACACACAAACAAACAAGTGCAGGCCCACAACACTGACAGCACCCAATACAAGACATGCAAAAAGGAAAGGACAGGAAGAACACGAGATCCCCCAGGTGTAACAGGGGGTCAGAAAGGGAACGAAGGAACGAGGGATGAGCCTGAATGCCGAGCTCTTTCAGTGGCAGCAGAAACTGGGGTCGCTCCGTGTCCACTAGGGGGTGTAAACATGCACAAATACATTGCGATGTAAGGACCTGAGGGTGGCGTTTCAAGTGCATCAAATTCTGAAATGTTAGAATCAATTCAATTTAATAAAGTGTGCAACTTTTTTTTAATGAGTGCAAATAAAATTCTTGAGCTTTTATCAAAGGTAGAAATAATAATATTAAAAAAAAAACAAAACAAAAACAATGTATCATCTAGACCCAACCCTCCAGCACTACAGTACACCACCCCTAGTTTAAGGGCTGCAAGTGTGTCTGGCTGATTCTGTATTTATTGTCTATTTGTTATCTTTGTATTTATTGTGTATATATAGTGTCTGGTATCCCAAGCGGCTCTTCTACTGCCCTGTTGTGGCTCCAAAGCAGAATTAGATTTGTAGGTAAAACTAAAATAATCCTCCTTCACAGTAAAATAAAGCTCTGCTGATCGTTCAACACAGTTTAACAATAAATGGTCTTAAACACTGGAGTTAATGTAGAACTGCTAATTCACCCTTTAACCCTGAAGGTTGGTGCGCAGACTGCTGGTCACCATAGCAACGCAGACAACAATCTGGCCTAGCTAGTAGCTAATGAGAAGTAATAAAGAAAGATTTAAGACAAACTTTGATCATTCAGAGATAAATGGACTTATGGCATTTATAATCACTCCAGCTGGTTTCCTGATACATTTAATCTGCAACGAGAAACTGACAAACACTAAAAAGTTCAGAAGCTGAAATCAGTTTCTTGTTCTAATTTTCCCGTTCCACCTTAAATGGTGCCTGAGGCACCGGAACATGACCTGGCGAATGAGAAGCGACTTCAGCCTCGTAAAAAGTTGGACACTGCAGGACATTTTACAAGAAAATATTCTACTTTTGTGGAAAAGTTTCCTGCCTGAGATGCATGAAAAACAGCTATAATTGAGCTAAAGCTTAAAGCAAAGCAAAGTAAGTCTGCGTTTTTTGTTTATGTTACTTTTTTTAGCCTATACTGAGGCATATTTACAGCCAAGATGGTAAAATGGACATGAAATGTTGTGGCTCACAAGGTGCTTTGATTTTTGTTGAAAGGATTAAATGGCTCTTCTTAACATTTGGGTTGCGACCCCTGCACTAGTAGTTTATGTCCTTGTCTTAATGTTTATGCTCCAGAGAAGTAGATCGAACGTATGTGTTATATTGTACTCAATATGTGTATATTGACAGTAAAGTTGAATAGAATTGGATCAATGACACAAAACATAAACATTGTCAGTAAAAGTTGCTGGTAATGTACTTGTTTCTTATCTGGTTTTCTCATCCTAATATGTGTATCCAACTCCACTAAACTACTACAAACTAGGTCCTTCAGTTAAAACGGTGCATTAAATGTACTATTCAAAATAATTTTCAATTGGGCTCCTAAGTGGCACAACAGGAGATCATGAGTCCCACAGCCATCCATGTCTGGGAGTCCAAGACAGCATAATTGTCCTATGGATAACTGTCCCAGGATGGTCCTCCATCTCCCCATCACTCCACACAATACTAGTCAAAACAGCATCTGCTAGCTGATGTAACAGAATTTACAGTTAGCATTCTCCTCCAAGCATGATGATCTGTCCTATGATGCTGCATTAGTTGCAGTTTTAAAAGATGCAGAGATGCTTCACATGTCTGGGAGGAGGCGTATGCTAGCCCTCACCCTCTCAGCTTGAGTGTATTGACTGCTAGCTAGTGAGTGGAATTATCTACAACTGGGGGGGACAAATTGTGTAAACGTCCAAATAAATAAGTAAATCATAAATGATTCTGAATGAAAAGAATCAAGTTGAATGGTGGTGCGATCTGATACTTCATGTATTGAGAAAAGTGATACATCCAATGTACTTGATTCAAATGTGTACATTTTCACACCAGATATTACACCAACACAAATCTTGCCAAAACTAGGAAGCTGAAAGACACAAATGTGTTGATGTGATATTTTTTCATTCATATAAAAATGATCTACACATTTCAACCTGTCACTTTTGGCAGCGTGATGCACTGAATCGTTTCCTAAAGATTCGAAACAGAGTCGAATTGTGAGGTCAGAGATTCACACCCCTTGTGTCCAGAGAGCTGGCTGCCGCTGGAACAGGATGGCATTAGTGAGGACGGAGGAGGGTCAAAGTATACTACCGCATGCAAGGTGGGGGCTTTGGATGGGCCAGAAAGAGTGCTGGGGGGATTACGGGTTAATGGAGAGGGGTAAATGGGGGGGGGGTCGTTTAGTTTCGGGTTTGTTGGTGAACGGAGTTTTCCCCCAGAGTTTAGATGATGAAGATGAGGCCCGGAGAAAATGAGGAAGAGGAGGAGGAGGTGGTAGCAAAGTCAATCCTGCGCCCACTTCTCTTCTAGCACGCTTCTCTCTGGCTCCCCCTGCTGTTCGGGAGCGTACGGCTGGTTCTTCTGGCCGGCGTCAGCCGCTATTTTTCAGAGAAAAATGCCCCTCGTGTGGGGCCGGCGGTGGACGGGGATGGACACACACCCAAATACCACGAATGTGTCTCTCTTTACAAACACACACACAACCACTCTCCACACACACACACACACACTCGCGCGCCGGCTGCAGGAGAGGAACCTACCTTGCTCCAGAGGACCAAAGTGCTCTGCTGCAGGTGAGGGGGGAGGAGATGGGGGCAGATTAGCAGAATCTTCCACTGCAGAAAGACAGAAAAAAACGACAGGAAAGGCTCAGAAGAACAGCAGGTACAGATCAGCGGAGTGAAGCTCAGGGAGACGCTCGCCTACCGGAGGCTTTGCTAGCTCTCATCACTTCAGCGGCTCTGACAGCACGGCTATGAGCTCAGACACCACAGTCTATTCCTGCTGACTAAATCCACCGCAGTGTGAGCCGCGCTCCTCCGCTCACAGCTTTCAAACAACTGTGTCTTATTAGCTACGTTACCCGCAGAGATCTCAGTAACTTAGAGTTACTGTTGTCGTTTTTGCTATGCAGTTTAAACGCAATTACATAATTACATCGTTAGTTACTTGCGTTCTGTACTGACAAGTCTGAGTGCACATTTCTGACATTCATCACAAAATGTGGCAAAAGTGCAAAGGATAAGTTTTCCTTTCCATAAAAAAAACAACACAATAGCTTTTCAACAGACTCAAAACACACTATCTTAGAAATAAAGGCGCTAAGAAGTAGAGATGCATCAATATGAGAATGCAGATATAGATAATCAATATTTTTATGATAATACGTTTTTTTTTACAATTATCTGCCGATACTGATATGATTTCAATATTTCTTTAGGGTTCTTTAGGGTAATGCCTTAGAAGAACCACTTTTGGTTCTCTAAAGAATTATTTAATAAGCTAAGAGTAATAAATAACTGAGGAGAGGGGGCTGAACATTTTTTTGCTTAATAATTTAAAAAGTATTTGGGCAAGAATTATAATTATTTGTATGGAAGCACACATTTCTACTTTGTTTCCAGCTCCTAAAGTGGAGTAAGTGCAAATGTTACAACGTCCCCTGTAAGGGGGGTTCATTGTAACAGATACTTGTGTATGTATATATATACATATGCCCATTGCCTTTATATATATATATATATATATATATATATATATAATATTTTTACAGCCTAAACAGCTAAAAATATATGCATATATGCAAATATAGAAATCTGATAGGTGAAAAGAGAATGCAGCAAATTTATGTATACAGACCACAAATAGCACATTTTTTTAATGGACCTGTGCACTTCCAACAAATGAACTGTGTCCAGTTTATATGGGGGGATACAGAGTTCTCTGCCATGTGGGGGCTGCACTTTTGCCTGACTAGCTCTTACTGTGAGTTGTTAATATTCTAACAAAACCAAACCACATGCTTTTATAAAGAATATTTAAAACAATGAATAGTAAACGTGGCTTTATGGTTTTATAACCCTAACTGGAGAAAGAAAACTTGCTATTAATTTAGGAGAGATGATATGAACACAGTTGTGAAGTTGAAAAGATATGAAGGCATGCACAAAACAAAACAAAACAAAACAAAACAAAAACATCACGTCAGACTCTTTCAAAAGTAGCCAAACAGGCTGGCGGCCAGCAATGGGGAAGAACCAGTCTATACACACAGACAGACAGACAGAGTGACCAGGGCCATGCAGACCAGGAGAGTGGAGGATCTCTCAACCCTGACTCAGCACACAGGCGCACATACGCACACAGGGCCACAGCAGAGCGGTGAAGGAACAGGCCAGCTGTCAAAGCGGATATACCAAACAGCAAGAGGCAACAAGACACACTGCAGAGGCACGACACACACCAGCCCAAGCCTCAGAGAGAGGAGACACACACACACACACACACACACACACACACACACACACACTCTACAGACTCAGCGAAAAGCATGGACACTTATGAAAAAGGCCCTGCGCTGTACACATCGATGCCTAATATAGCACATATGCGAAATCCATAACGGAGTTACCTAAGTGTCACGTTGATGCATTGCTGCATCACTAAAGCTGTCTCTGATTGGTCTGAACCCAAACCAGTGACTGCTGCTGCCTGGGTACACTGCAGAATACCAGCAGTGATTTTCATACGCAGCACAGCAAAGCGTTTTCACAAGTTTTGCATCAAACTAGAGATGGCACTGATCTGAGACCAGGTACCAGCATTGTGCTGATATCAGCAGAAAATGCTGGATGTGATATCAGAGGGGAAAAAAATTAATCCGATCCAATCTTGTAACAAATCTATCCTGAAAAAGTGATCACTCACGCTGGCTATCTCTACATGCAAAGATTTTTTGCCAATCTGATTGAACACATTCTGATTATAGATTAAGACTGAGGTGTTTATTTGCTCACTCTACTCATTCTGATGGAAAATCTCCGTTTACATCAACAAGTAATCCGATCCCAAATTATGTACATAATGTGTAGAGAACCACTTAGTGTAGATGTTACCATGACAACGAGCATCATGTGAGTCCAGTCAGAGTGAGATGAGCAGCAGTGAGCAGTGCTTGTGTTTTTACTTTAAAATGATGTCAGACTCAGGAAAACGTCCTTCACGTGTCCTTATTAAAGAAGGCCGAGAGGAAGACGTCGTGTTCTGAGACACATAAGCTGGACGTCCGTCCCACCGCCGTCTTTTAAAGATCAGAGCATAAACTTCGTCTCCTCTGCAGACCAGTTTCTGCTCCGCCATGTTGAACGGTATGAACTTTCACTATGACACGACGAACATGATCAGAACGGACTTAGACTTTCTGATAGGGAATGTAATCAGATACAGGCGTTTACACAGATATTATTCTTCTATTTAATGGATCATTTACAGGATTACCCACCTCGATCAAGAGGATAGAAATTGTATTCTGAATAGCCTCAATCGGACTAGGCTATTCCGATTGAGCTGTTAGTCGGATTATTAATGGATTACTAGGCTGCATGTAAACGTAGCTTAGTAGTTTTACAGAAGAAATATCATCAGTATTGATACCAAGGTCCCAATAGCAGTATTGATAAGGAAAAAAGGTACTGTGCCATCTCTAGTATGAACAGCAGCATATAGCAAAAAAAAAGATGTTTTTTCACAGCTGGACTGAAGCACTGAAACGGACGGCCACACACCAGCACAGACGCAGAATGAAAGCGAACATAGAACCAACACACACCAAAAACCAGATATTTAAATTATAAGCACATCATCTTTCCAAAAAGTGCAAACTTCAGTGGCCTCCTGTATCCCAGGATGCCCTTCTACAACATTTAGTCCTTGGGCACCCCCATCAATTTTACTCTGTTCCAACTTCAAGCATGTTTGAATCAGGTAATCTATAGAACTCAGGTGATCTGACCCCCCCCAGCCCCTGATTACCTGAGTCAGGTGTGTTTGGAGCTGGAACAGAACAAAAGCATGGACTGGATTGGGATCGCCAAAGGCTGGGTTGAGAGCCTCTGTGCTACAAGGCTAAATGACAGTGGTGCCTCTGACCTGCACTGTAAAAATGACTTTGTGGTTTAACTTAGTAACCTGGCTACCTTGAAGAAATGATTCAGCACAAACTCAAATTTACACTCTTCTCCCTTTACCCCAATACCACTCAATCAGCCAAGACATGGAGCTCATATAGGACTGCTAACGTAGCTAATAACCCATGAGAATCTTTTTCCCCCAAAACTTAAGCATCACAACTTCAGTGCAAAGTTAACTTCAGGCACCAAACAAGCCTTGGCTGATCACAGTGCTGTGAAAAAGTCCTGATTTCCCCTATTAAGGCATTATTTGTCATAGTAAATGCTTGTAGGTCTTCAAACTAAATGTAATATTAATTATATTAATCAAAGAGAACCTGATCAAACCCCAAACACCCAGTTTTTGGATTGTTATTTTATTTAAGGGGAAAAGGCATCAAAAAAACATGAACCACACATGTCAAGCAACTGCTCTTTAGTTACTCAAGCAACAAATTAACCCAATGTAATTCAACTTAAAGCCTTCACTGTGACAAACATGCAATAGCAGAAAAAAGCAGGAAGGGGGGGAGCAAAAACTTTTTCACAGCACTGTACATTTGGGGCAAGGGGACAATTTCAGATTTTTTCCTGAACCATTCTTTAGAAAAAATATTTAATTTTATAATAAATAAGGTAACAGAATGCAAAACCCTGATTGTTGTTCTGCTAACTTAGTGTATCGCTGCTGTCAACAAAACCTTGTATCTCCATTTTTGTCATTTTTCAATTTTTGACATAATTTGAAAAGGCCTGTTGCCCTTTACATTGTCTGTAAATTTGATGATGAATGGACCACAGGAAACGACCCAAAATCACTTCAAAAAACGCCTGGTTCCATTGACTTACATTAAAAGCGAAGTATGTTTTTTCCTTCTCCTGTAAAGTTACCATTTTGGAGATACAAGGTTTTGTTCCAACAGCAGTGATATGTTGTTCAGTGAACTCAACATTTAAAGGCAGTCAGGTTACTTTTAAACAACCAATCTTTTTTACAGTGAGGATGATGTTGCCCACCTGTATCCCAGGATGCCTTATTACGAGGCTGAATGACAGCCTCCCACCTGAGCTTACAGTGGCATCGCCTAACCGAATACAGCCTCACATAATGCAAATTGTAGATGGCATGTGGTGTCGTCAATCTGCTACCAGCATAGCAGTGGTGCGTCCAGTCTGCCGGCGGTTTGGCCTACCTGAGGGCAGTCTGACAGCGGTGTCCGGGTGGAGCTCCTGCTCGCCCTTCAGCACTGCTACAGCCTCCGCCGTCACCTCCTGCACAATCCGCGCAGAGACTTGCTCTGGGCGACACACACATTCAAACACACACACGTCAAGCATGTAACACAACCCAAACACACACTCAATCACGCCTTCTCAATCACAAACCTGGAGACTGTACAGTGTAGAATTTTCCCTTTAACATATCACATTCAGGACATCAGCTAATTAACAAACGATTCATAATCAGAGGTGTTTAAAGCAGGTAAAACACTGAATGCATGTTGTATGAATGTTTGTACTGTTTGGCTCAAATAATGCAATAATAAATCTTTCATTTTTCCAGCTCGTTCTGGCTCCTGCACATGCACATATCCCCTCAAAGAGGGAGGGCTTTTCCTGCTTGCAGCTTAACCAGCAAACCAGCTGGCTCATTTTACTGAAGGGTGGGACTTTCCCCGTAAACAGATGCCATGCTGATCGTTACAAGCTCTCCCATTAAAAAAGACCAGTCTTCTCCTTTATAATGTCTCTGCTTATGTACTCTAATTAGCATCGTCTAAATCATCACACACTCCACTCACCATGAAGAGCTGTTAAGGAATCTGAAATAGACTTGGTTTCTGACACTGTATGACACACTTATCTATGAAAATGAACATAAATGTCATCTTTCGCCTGGCTAATGACACCATGACACTTTTGAATCCTGAATTTTGTCCACACTTTTGTAGCTTAGGCTAATCAACTAATCTGAGGGTGACATCTTGTCCTGGCAAGAGTTGAAGCGAGAGTGTGACAACAAACCCACCCGCAAGTAACAGAGAGTGATGCATGTGATGCACCTTTTTTGATGCGCTGATATCACTCTGCAACACACTGAATGAGGAGAAAATGATTTATTAAATACAGGAAAGAAGAAAGCTGTAATACACTGAGTGCATTTACATGCATTTAATAATCAGATTTCTGCAGTTATCTGATTATTCAAATGGTCATGTATACGGCACACTCCGATTTCTTAGATCAGAGTAAGAAATCTGATTAAGAAATCTGATAAAGAGAGCTGGATTTTAGCTCTGTAATCAGATTTCTTAGTGCATTTAAACTCTTACTCTGATTTCTTTCAGATTTTTCAGTCTGTGCATGTGCGAAACAGAGTGCGTTACCAGAAATAAGCAGCATTGCCGCAAAATGGCAGCAAAACATTTTTAGAGCGATGCTGAAACCAACTACGTGCTTGACGAAATGACAGATTTAAACATTCTTAATCTTCTAGATGATACATGTTCATATTTACTTTACGTTTACGTCACGTCGTCTTCTGTGAGTTTATTGGCTGGTTGCAAAGCAGAAATCTGATTACTGTCTGACTCGTGTAGACCTGGAGTTTCCCATTATCTGATTACTCCAGTGCATGTAAACACGTTGATCGGATTACTGACAAAATCAGATTTTCTGCAGTTATCGGATTATTAGGTGCATGCAAACGCACTCAGTGACTCACTAAATGCTAGCATAACGCATCCAAAACACAGCATATGAGATTATGTCAGCCAGGTATCTGACTGTACGCCTGTGATATCCGCTGTACACTACTGATACTACATTAAATTTGTTACTTGTAAAACATGCAGATAAACATATCCAATTTTTGAATAATGGTATTATATTAAAAATACGCACCTATTTTACAGTTGAAGTCTGGAGCAATTAGCTGGTCTTTAGCTTGTTTATGTTTTTATTTGATGCACTTGTTTGTTGTGTAAACTTTGTGATCACTTTATGAAGTGATGCAACATTATATCTGCCATTAGGATAAGAAGTAAGTGAGAAATGGTGCAAATCTATTTTTTCCTCAAACTATCGTTGCTTTAATGCAGGGGTGCACAACTCCAGTCCCACACAGTTTGGTGATTTACCTGCTCAAACACACCTGAGTCAACCCATCTGTTAATTGCCAGGTTTAACGGGTGTGTTTGAGCAAGGAAACTACCAAACTGTGCTGGACGCCAGCCCACCAGGACTGGAGTTGTGCACCCTTGCTTTAATGCAACATGGCCTCAGTCACAGTAATGATGTTTTTACTGATGCCCACCTCTGGGGACCAAAGGAGTGTAGTGAGCCTAAGGAAGGTAATAAGGTCCATTTTAGAGCCATATATTCTTACTATACTGCAAATACCTTGTGACCGGTGCACAGCTGTTTTGTCTGTAGTAATTAGAACAAGGATTCCCATTTAAACTGGTAAAGTCCATCCATTGTGGGGTGGAAAAATAATACAATCTATATTGTTTCACAACAGTGCAGCTGTAACGACCATTTTGAGAGCTAAAGAGTCTTTGAACTGAAGAAAATGTGAAATTGTGTAGGTGACTTGGGTTTTAATTGACATCTAATGAATGAAACTTCGGGTTTCTCTGAAGACCTGCACACAATTAGAAAGAAAAATAGGGTAATAAAGTTAGTCTCTCATAGACGCACTTTAATTGGGATTTTTTTCCCCCACTCAGTAGCGTTTCCAGGACGTACGGTGGAGGAAAACATTTTCTGAAGGACGGATAAGGAACAGAAATGGCAGGAGAATTGGCAGTAACAGATTGTCATGGCAACAGTGGATGGAGGACTCATGAGCAGAGAAAAGCCTCCAATTAGAGAGCAATTCCACAGCCGGCCCACGGATTGGCTGGTCAGAAACTCAGGAAAGAGACTCTGCACCAGCTCACAGATTTCAAAGAGGTCGTGTAGAGTATCACAGATGATCCAGCTTCAATTAAAACAATTTTCTAAGTTTAGACTATATAATTGAAGGTAGCATGATGGAATGGTAGCAACCGCATTGTTCATAAAGCTACATGACGCACATATGGTCATATACAAATGTTTGAACACCCCTGGTTAAAAGACAAACTTTGTTGATTTTCTAAGTGAAAATGAGTTAAACCATCCTCATACAGGTTATATATGACAAAACAGGTCATTTGACTAGGGGTGTTCCCATCCTTTGCATACAACTTTATGATATAAGTGATATAAACCTTCATAAACATTTCTTAATTCATATCCCGTCAGGTGTCGGCTGTCCAAAAGGCTGCCTTTGTCAACTCTGATGCCAAGTTGACATAACAGCTATGTTAAATGACAAGAAAACATATACAACACTGTCATTACATGTAAAGACTGTTTGTGTCAAAGCCTTTGCTATGGGTCCTTCTTCATTTGGACTGAGAATTCAGCTGGATACATTTTTAAAAATAAATTTCTTTCATCCCAAAACAAACTAAATAAATCTTAATATGTCCATTAACGTCTCCTATTATCATATATGCAAAAAGGAGCTTAATTCCAAACATATTTACAGTCACTGGTGTTGTATGAATATGGTGTAACACCAGTGACGGTGACTCCAGTGACTTTCTGGTTAAAACTGAGGATTTTGTAAATTGGCTGACTCATTGGTGACCTTGTGCAACTATTTAAAATCAGTAATAAAAATGATATTTGTCATTATTTTGACCAAATTTTAAACACGCAGTCATTAAAGCACATAACATCGGTGACACATGATAAACAAAATGATTTATATATTAATGAACTATAGTGAGCGAGTGTGACTCGCCTTCTCACGCCTGGAGATGCTTCCTCTCTGATGAGCCTCGACCCAAAGAAGCAGTTTAACAGAGCTGAAAATGCTGTGTTAAAATGTAAGATAAGAGTCCTGATAACACCAGTGACCACAACCTCTGGGACAAATGATTTTTTTAAAATAAAATACTTATATTTTTAATGTAGTGGAACATTAATGATATAAAAAGTAAACATGAATCTGTTTTATTCAAATTTATTCAAAGTTAAAACTATATTGTCTTATATTAAAAATGGTTAAAAGTGTTCAGTGTTGTTTTGTGACGAGCTGTTTAACGTCAGGCAAAAGTCTGTCACTTGGCATCAAGGTTGACAAAAGCAGCCTTTATGACAGCTGATGCATGTTGTAATAAGGCTTTAAGCATATTGTATGTAGGATTATTGTCAGTTGTCATGAAGGGCTTGTATGCAGGTGTCATACACATGAAACACTGCCTAATGAACAGTGTTACAGTGTAATTAACCAATCACGATTCATATTATTAGACCATAAAAGGTTAAATGACCTCAGGTATATATGGGTCAAAAGCCAAGATTTCACTGTAGCACAGCAAGCTACTGAGCGTAATCTGGTAAATGGCCATTTCACTGAAAGACTGGATATCGGATCTGATGTGATCTACGTTTCTGAAATGAATCGTGTTTTAATAATCATACACCAAGAATGAGACGATCCATTACCCAGGCTTTTAGAGAATGACTGAAATTCTCCATTCACTGCTGCTCAACATGATGGAGATCAATTCAAATAGCTGAGTACAAGGAAACAGACTCAAGCGTGACATTAACGCAGCAGGAAGCCAATGAATAAGGCATCTGTTCATGCAGGACTGGATGTGCATTGTTTGGCTCCTCCCAGTTCAGAAGAGTTTAAGGCCATACCCTCCTAAAAAGACGGTTCTTCAAGGGTTCTTTCGTAAAGAAAACGGTCTAGGATTCATTTGGTCTAGAACCAGGAGCACTCAAAGAACCCTTTGTATGGTGAAAGGGTTCTTCAGATTGATGGAGAATGTATTGTATATGGTTCTATATAGCACCAACAGGGGCTCATCTATTGTTAAAGGCTTGACATCATAACTAAAGAACCTTTTTTGGTGCTATATAGAACCCTTTTCAAAAAAAAAAAAGTTATATCTAGAAACATATACAACACATTCTCCATCAAGCTGAAGAACCCTTTCACGAGGCAAAGAACACTTTAATCATACAACGTATTCCTTGTTCATAGTTCTACATAGAACCGTTTTCTTTACTAAAAACCCTTTTTAAAGTGTGTAGATGGTTCTTTATAGACGCTGATTAAAGGGTTATGATTAAAGGGTTCTTTGCATCATGAAAGGGTTTTTAGATCGATGGATAATGTTCTGCAGGTGGTTCTATAGAGAACTTTTTTGAAAAGGGTTCTATATGGCACCAAAAAGTGTTCTTTTACTAT